CTGTGACTTTAGATAAAACTCAGACTTCACAGAGCTGCCAAACAGAACGTTTTTAACGTATTTATACGTGTTTTTTTAAAGGGAAAATACGTATTTGTTTTGCTGTGCTAAAATTGTAAGTTCTGAGTATGGCTATGCGAACGTGGCTACATGTTGGCTGTGAGAACGAGCGTATGCATAGTATGCATACACACAACACAGGGGATGTACACCACTCAAAGACGTGCGCATTACCCCAGGCCATGCATACACACATGCATCCGATCGTGATATCAAACCAGCATCCACAACACACGCAAATTACATATCAGTGCACTGCACTACACACAGCGTCACTCACTAGTACAAGGAAATCCCGATGTCACTTCCAAAAATCCACCCCAAAAGCCAAATTTTGCTGTCACAAGTGCGGAATCGGAGCCATATTTCCAGAGCACGCGGTGGCTTAGCCAATTTTTAAAAAACGGCTTCGCCAAAAAAAGCGCTTAAAATAAAAAATCAGAGATTTTGTAACGAGTTTTTTCGCTTATCGCAAGCGCCCTTCGAGGCAGGCCTGCTTCGAGGGCCTTCGAGTGTGGTGGTATCTTTACCAGCGCTGTAGGGTTTAGATCACGTGACCGCATTTTAGGTCACGTGACCGCTATCCACATGTTTTGATTTGCGCGAATTGCTGATACACGCAATGCAGTACTGATTAATAGGTTGGGGGATACAGACACTACTAAATATGATTTATATATTTGCAGTGTCGCACAAGAAGCTTTTATTCATATGCGGCTGTATGTAGAAAGACTTGAGGCGTTGCTGGTTAGGTTTATTATTTTAGCGCGCGACACATTTTTTAGACAAATTATTATCAATCAACACGGGAGGATTGCAGCTCTAGCTCTGCTTTCAAGACTGAAAATTCATCTATGAAAATTTACTATCTTGTATTTTAAACACGAGCTAGACGGGTGCAACTTTATTGTCAGGGAACACCAGATTAACGCGTTCTAGACGGGTCAGCTATTGTCAGGGGACGCCAGATTAGTAAGGATTAGAGAGGGGCTGGATAGCGGTGAGGTTCATTGACAGCGGTCCTAGCGGACGGGATGGCTTCTTTTCTGGCTGCCTGCTCTATTGTCCAACAGACAACAATAGACGCGAGCAAGGGACGCCAAGGGACCGCCAGCGTACAATACGCGTCCGGGAACGGGGGATTAAGAGATAAGTAGGCGTCCCGAACCCGGACGAACGCGAGTGATAATAAAGTTGCCTTCCCTTAATCTCAAGGAAAGGATGATGCCGGCATGCAAGTAAATGGCGGAATAGTAGACAACATCATGAAAGATGAAGATGGAAAACGACGTAGAAAGAGAGATAGAGAGAGAGAGAGAGACAGCGAGAGGGAGAGAGACAGAGAGAGAGAGGAGGGTGGGCCGGGGCAGGATAGATAGAAAGTTTGACGTAGTCTGTTCTGTATTTATTATTATGATATTTTTCTCACCGACTACCCCCCCCCCCCCACAAACCTCAGATTTTTTTCTTTTGTTTTTCTCTTTTTTGTTTGTTTATATCTTTTGGCTAGAGCACAATGTCCGACGGATAATAGTACCGTCAATATAGCATGATAACAATTTGTTTATATCAGTTTGATGCAACAGAGATTTACATTCAAAGTTTTTACTTTGTATAAATATTGTACAGTAAAATTCTTCTCATTTTGACATTATCAGCCGCTCGTTTTGTTTTTCGCTCCCTATAATAAATATAAGGTATAATAACGTACATCAACAGGGATAATTTGATGTTATAATAATTAATCTCAAAGAAGGAATGGTGCCGGCATACAAGCAAATGACGAAACAACATTGGCAGAAAGACAGAAAGACAGAGAGACAGACGGAGAGAGAGGGGAGAAAGTGGAGAGTTTGAGAGAGAGAGAGAGAGAGAGAGATAAAGAGAGGAAAGAGAGAGGGAGAGAGACAGATAAAGAGAGTGAAAAAGAGACAAAAAGAGATAGAAACAATCATTTCTCATCATCATCTTTTTGTCTGTTACATTTTAGCATATCATATATTCTTGTTCATTCCTTTATCTTGTATGATTGATATTATCTTTGAATGATTGCAAAAACAACAAGACCCCACTCCCCCAAAAACACACACAAAAAACCCAGGGTTATACATGTAGGATCATCAATGCTATAAGCCAGGTCATTGTCATTCAATTATACCCTTACCTTACTTCCGCTCTTCTATTGTTGGGGTTTATAACCATGACAACAACCTTTACATCCGTCAACGTTCTTTGTTCCTCTTACGTAACTAAGTTGTGGGATCATGGGCCAAAGACAAAGATATAGCTCTTTTCACATATTCTATATAGGTCCCAAATACTTGCAGACATTTCTGTGTCATTTGTAATTGTACGTACTTTGTCAATTCATACTTACAAACTATAATTGTCAAAATTTGCCAATATATTCATACATATTGATATTATATAGCGCCTTTACATAAAACATGATCAAAGCGCTTTACATTAGTAAATAAAACAGAATAATTATTTTGCTCTCTAGGCAATACTTCCGAACTATTTCGTTTCCCCTATATCATCTTCCGCTCTAGAATCCTATCTTGTTTATATTTATTTATTGTGTATGTGTCCTTGTCTCCCTCTCCATTATTCTTCTGTTTTTGAAAGAGAAAGTTTCATTCTTTCTCTTCTTTCTCTTATAATGTTATCCACCTACTTCTAGATGACCCTTTTGTGGTAAAGTATAATGTCCGATGTATATTATTTCCGTCGATATAATGAACGTTTCATTTTATTTTGATGCAACAGAGATTTACATTCAAAATCAAAACTTTTACTTTCTATAATTTGTGTACAGTGATATTCATTTTGACATTATCAGCCGCTCGTTCTCTATTTTTTTCCCTAGTATTTAAGATGTATGTTTTCATCATCATGGATATGTTATCATAATTTATCTCAAAGAAGGAATGATGCCAGCATACAAGCAAATGGCGGAACAACATTGACAGATAGAGAGAGAGAGAGAGATAGAAAGTTGGACGTAGTCTGTACTGTATTTATTATTATACTAGTTGTCTATCTGATCAACCCCCCCCCCCCCCCCCCCCCCCGTTTTTAAAACAAAATTATTATTATTTTTTTTAAATCGCTAAAGTATAATGTCCGACCAAGGAGTTATTTCCTTCGTCCGACGTATATTAGTTTTGTCAAAAAAGATTGTGTCATATTATTTTTTGCATAAGAGATGTTTTTATATCCAAACTCTTACTTTTAACAATTCGTCCGATGTATATTAGTTCTGTCAAAAAAGATTGTGTCATATTATTTTTTGCATAAGAGATGGTTTTATATCCAAACTCTTACTTTTAACAATTCTTATTTATATGTCGAAACGTGCTTTCGGAAATCGCGGAACAGAAAACAGTATGAGAGAGATGAAGTATAATGAACGGTTTTTATAGAGTGAGAGAGAGAGAGAGAGAGAGAAAGTTGGGCGCATCGTTATATAGTCTGTACTGTATTTATTAGTATGCTATTTTGGCTCTCCTTTCACCCCCCTCCCCCTCCCCCCCCCCCCCCCCCCCCCCCCCCCGTTCTGGATTCTTCTTGAGTTTCATTTGATCATGTTTACATATTTTCGCTACATTATATTGTCCGACGTAAATTATAACAGTCAAAATTTGATGTGTATTTTCTCATAAAATCGAGTATCAAAATAAAAAAGAGTATAGGAAGAAGAAGAAAAAGAAGAAGAAGGAGGAGGAATAAGAGTGACAAGGAAAAAAAAAGATACGGAGGAGAAAAAAGAAGAACAAAATAAGTAGGTAGAAGAGGAAAAAAAGATAACGAAGAAAAACAACCTACAGTACGGAAGAGCTGAAAGAACTTAGAGCACGGCAGATTGCCAAATGATCTGCGCATGCGCTAAGTTCCTGCTCGTCGAAGCGACTGGCCAAACTTTAGGTCGCTTCAACGCACACGCATTGTTCCGCGCGCTGAACAGTCGCACGGTATTGTACGGCAGCGAAGGAGTCGAGTTTTCGATTTTTAATCTCGTTTGTGGGGTGGCTTTCAGGCTGAATAATTTCGGAAGGAACGGGTTAAAGGTACTATGTCCCATTTGCAGGCCAAAAAAATGAAAAAGTTAAATTCCAACTGCATTTGAAAGATAATACTAATTTAGAACTTCCCTAAAAAAGTTGGGGCTTGAAAATGTCTTCAAGTGGGAAAATAACAACTATTAGTTGTCAAATCGACTTTAGGGCTACAGAGCCCAAAAGTAATAGTCTTGATTTTCAGACAATTGTACAGAATGGTCATACCTTTTATGCTGCGCAAAGATTCAATCAGTTTAATCTTGGCCATCATAAGAAGTGGGTTATTGGTGTAGACAAATGCTCATGTACCCTTTACAACTCTTTTCATGTATGTTATTACCAAAGAAGGAAAAAAGCCAGTCAGTCACCCAATAGTGTCTGACAGTGAAGTCTAGCAAGTAAACGGGTTTCCTTGCATAATTTGAATATGAGGACACTGCTAATATTTAAATTTCACAGATAGGACATATATGACATATTCATAATTCCTGCAAAGTTCTACAGAATTTGAGGTTGGCTGCAAAAGGGACATAGTACCTTTAAAGCCCCACTGCACTACTTTTAGCTACTTGCGCCCTCTATATAGCAAACAATGCCTAATCGGTGCATGTTGGTCCCCCATGATCCCCTTTTTCTTATGATAATTGAGAGCTGATTTGATGATATAACCACCTGTCAGTGACCTTGCAGGAAGATCTAATCCCCCTGGCCAAACTAGTGCAGACAGGCTTAAGTTTGAAAGGTTCCTCTTTAAAATGAACAAATTTGTTGCACAAAAAAAAAAAAAAAAAAAAATAAGTAGAGCATTTTCAAATGATGAAAGAAATTGAGAAGACTTGTTGATAAAGTGTTTATTTTCTTCCCTGCATCTATTTACAGTCTCCCTAACGGTGTACCCAACCTGCCACGAGTGAGCTCCTTCCAGTCCACCCCGCCCCCATCCACCTCGCAAGGGAACACCTTCCACCCCACCCTAGCTCTCAACAGCACCCCTCCCCTCAACCACGCCCCTTCCCTCAACCACTCCTCTCCCCCACTGCTCAACCACAGCCACTCCTACCAGCAACAACAAACACTTCAACAGCCATTTACCAACTTGGAGCCCTATCCCCCTTCGACGTCAACGAGCCTTGAACGTCGGAACACGATGCCATGTAAAGGTAAATATTCCCCCGATTTGAGCTCTCTGCAGGCACGATGCAATATACTGCTTAGCAATACATATAGCTGCAGCGTATTTTTAAGAAGAAGACTGTAGTTCTCTTCTCGTTTCTATACTTTATGACATTTAGATCATACGTAGTGTCCTTTGTGGACAGTTGTCTTTTAACCCTCAAAATATTGCCACTTGTCGTTCACTTCCATGCTGAGTTTTGCTTTGGTAGTTTATTGTGTCATGTCCAAGTGTGCTACACATACCTGTATTCCTTGTTTCTGAAGATAGTGCCATAGTCATTTTGTCCTCGGGTTGTTCATCTGGCTGATGTCCTCCCACCTTTGCATTCACTGCTCACGTGAGCAGGGGCTCTTTCTACCAGACTCTTTTTTTTTTTCTTTCTCGTAAATATGATTTATCGTAGCGAGTGCTGTGCAGTATGGCGGCCATCCAACACTCGCTGAGAAAGATGAAAAAGTATCAAATATTCTCTCAATAGAAGCCAATTTTTCATGGAAAACTGCTGTTGTCATGACCCGATAATCAATATTTAGCAACTTTGTGTGAGTAAAATCACCCAAAATAATCATGCACGCCTGCGCCCACGCAGTGTTGGCGTGCCTTTTTTTTTAGGTTCATTGCGCCGATTAGGAAATTACTGATTTTGAGCCTTGTGATTACTGATTTTCTGTTCTGGAGGTTGGTAGCTCTGGAGTAGGGCAGCGGGATAGTCAATTATGGACTGTCACCTGAACAGATGAGTGAAAGTTCTTTAGCTAAACTCAATTCCTCTTTTTTTATCTATCTTCTCATTGCTCTTATTCATCTCACCGTTTCTCTTCTCTTAGATGAAGCTGACGGTCCAAACATGATGGAGGTCGATGCCATCCCTACCAGCCAAGGTTTCCCTGTTACGAGGGATCTGACCCTGCCTAATCCTTGCCACACCCAGAACATAAGCCCCTCTCAAGATCCCTCTATAGATTGGTAAGATGATCAAGAAATTATTGTATTCCATTTATTTTGCTTTCAACAAGTCCCTTCTCCTTACGCAACACATGCTTCGATGATGCTACAAAGTATCCATTGCTTACCGTAATTAACGGTGTATTTACCGCACCTTTTTGCCGCCGAAAAAAATTCAAAGTCGGGGGTGCGGTTTATACATGGTACACCACCTGGCGCTATGCCTGGTAATGTCTCCCAGCTCAGTAATCGGTGTGTTGACTCACCACTCGGAAACTAGAACAACACTCAAATTTGTCTGTCATCTTGGTTTGAAAGTAATCTTTCTGATAGATTTCAATATGTAGTTTATAATAATAATTCCTCCAATTTTTCTTCTATTACATGGCGTACCACAAGGTTCTATCCTAGGTCCTCTACTGTTTTTTAAGTCGGCAAAAAAAGTCAGCAATTTTTTTTTTTTTTTTTTAGGGCGAAAAAGAGGGGTGCGGTTAATACACGAGGGCGGTTTATACACCGTTAATTACGGTACACTATATTCCTGATTTCAAGCCTTGACCAACCTTGACCAAGCCTTGCACCTTGAGCCTCAATTAACACCCAATTAACTAATTAAAGCCCCAAGTCACTCCAGGAAATGTTATATCATCATCTCCATATCATAGACCCAGACCCTAAGAAGGTGGGGGCTTTGGTTATGAGTCTTGTTTAGATTCGAGGTAGGCAGGTGGAAAATTGACCAGTGTTTGAAATATTCTAGAGAGTCATTTGTAGCTGGACCGCTTTGTGCAATACTTAATCTTATTAACGCCTTCAGCAATATGATAAAGAGCATATTGTCTCAACAAATTTTCTAACAACTACAACTGTATCATATTACAATTTCATTTGTCTTTTCTTCGACAGCTTTTTAAAGAGACTTGGTTTAAGGCAGCACTCCGATATTTTCACTCAGAAAAACGTTCATACTGTGGATCAACTGGAGGAGATTAATATGGAGGTAAAAGATTAGCTAATCTCTGCCCTTTAATCTTCTATGACAGTTGGAGTTTCATTCAGATGCTAAATCCACAGAAATTAAATTTTTGCTGGATTTGTATTAAAGATAACTGAAATAATGGCATTGGCCTTACTGTAATAGTAGTAGTGACAATGGTGATAAAGATGATGAGATAAGATGAGATGAAAATAATTTATAATTCATAATTAAAATCATCACCATATTTGGATTTGCATAAAATCTTTTCCAAATGATACAAGGCATTTTCTCTTAGTCTAATGAAAGATTAAGAAGATTTATAGAGGATTTATAGTGATTCTATACAATTTTGATATATTTGGATGCCCCTGTGGAGGCATTATAAGCGCTAGAAAATTTAGTCCCTAAAACGCTTCTGCTTTTGAGAAAAATTGAATATAACAATTTACCGGGGCTCCTGGTAAATTTGGATAAATTTCAAATAGCGTCTATGGCCGTACAATGGTAGCTGCGACCATGACAATCACAGAATATGTAGTTGTGATATATAATATCCAAACAGGAATAGCACATCGGTCGATTTTAGTCAAGAAACATTGTTTTATAGCTTAACTAATAAGTTGGCCTTGAGAGGGAGCTATACAACATAAAGAGTTTATTATTGACAATTTCATAACTTTAGACTCAATTTCAACCGCAACAACGATCACTGAATATTGTAGGCTCACATATGCTTCCAATATGTTCATTTGAACCAAATTCATGCCCCCATACCAAAACTTTGTATTACCTTTAAGCTTCAAAGCAATATACTGAACCCTCCCTGTCTGTACTTTCTGTTCTTATTCTCAGGACTTGTCGAGCATACCTCACCAGCAACGAGAAATCCTCTGGAAGGCCATCCTAGAGCTTAAGGGCGGTCTCCAGCTCAATCACACCCCTACCATGAACAGAGGCAATAGCAGTGCATCCACAACGAGTATCCACTCCAGTGGGGGATCGATGGTCGGTAACCAAGTGTACCGAGCCACCCGCTTCACCCTCAAACAGACTCTATCTTTCAAGGTGGAGAAGGAGGATGATTAAGTTCCGGAAGGAGGATGTTTAAGTTTTAAGGATCGTTGGTCTGCAACCAAGTGTACCGTGCCACTCGCTTTACTCTCAAGCAGACTCTATCTTTCAAGGTGGATGATTAAGTTCCAGAAGGAAGCCTGTTACGGATGAGTTGATGGATAGCTTATGTTGGTACTGCACCTCGATGGTTGATGGTGGAGAAGGAGGATGATTAAGTTATGGATGAGTTGATGGATAGCTTATGTTCGTACTTGACCCTGATGGTTGATGGTGGAGAAGGAGGATGATTAAGTTCCAGAAGGAAGCCTGTTGTTATGGATGAGTTGATGGATAGCTTATGTTGGTACTGCACCTCGATGGTTGATGGTGGAGAAGGAGGAGGATGATTAAGTTCTGGAAGGAAGCCTGTTATGGATGAGTTGATGGATAGGTTATGTTCGTACTTGACCTTGATGGTTGATGGTGGAGAAGGGAGACTGTTAATCTTATGATGGAGAGCCTACCATGATCAGAGGGAATAAGGTGCGTCCATCACGAGCATCCGCTCAAGTGGGGGTTACCCAGTGTACCATGCCATTAGTTTGATTCTTTACCAGACTCTGGACATCATTTAAGGTGGGGAAGGATGGCGATTAAGTTCCATATGAAAGACCGTCGTAGAAGGTTACGCTCGAGTTGATAGAAAGCAGAAGTCTTACTGCACACTACACCCTCTATACGAAACTGTTCTTAATGTTGGAGGAGTGAGATGATCATTCTTGTGTTCAAGGAAAGCGGAGCATATCTTGTGCTGAAGATGATGAAGAATTGGCCCGAGCCTGTGCCTCGTATTTTAGACATCGTTTTACAAACATGAGGAGGTTGATTAATATTGTGAAGGAAAGAAAATCGTACCTGTGGAAGGTTGTGCGAAGGATGTTGAAAGCTGAAGTCTGTGCTACAGATCCCGTTGTTCGAAGGAAGAAAAAAGAGGGATGATTAGCATCTCGAATGAAAGAGAAGCATGCCTTTGAAAGGAGACCACAGCTTTGATAGGTTCTTGTGAAAGACGTGCCTCGGTTCCAGAAAATCTTCTGAAACCCTCTCGGCCGAGAAGCAAGCAGCATTCGATCACAAGAAGGAAGGAATCGTATCACAGTGGATATTATTCAGTTGTAATGTGGAAGGGACAAAGGAGGACAGCTATCTTGATCAGGGCACATGGCAGAAACCTGTATGGCTAGGAATGCCACAGAGATGAATATTGGACTATTATGTGCTCTGGATACTCCCTAGATAACTGCAGCTGGATATGCTGTAGAACAGAGCTGACTATTGTGGAAAATATCTCTTCTACCAAAATAGAATTACAGGAATGGCTTTGGTGAAGGATTTTTTAATGATTGTCTTCAAGAACAACCCAAGGATATTATTCATGAACAACACGAGACAAATATGGCTTTAAACATTTTACAATGATTGTCTCGTAGAAAAATTAACAAAGATCTTAACATAGGACAGTTTGTGAATGTATTCTTAAATTGTATTGTTGGGACTGATGTTCACAAATAATTTGTTGAGACAGGTATTTCAGCTCACTGCCACTGTATCTAGCAGAAACTTTTGAATTGACCGTGGGTGTACCGTAATATGTATGTCATCATGTGTATGGCTTTTAGGAAAGAGAGCAAGTGGCGATTGTAACTGAGCTTTGCGACTGTGTCAAGCAGTGTACGAATGTGTGTGATAAAGTCAGATTTGTCCTGCAAGGCTGTGCTGTATGTTGTCCTGCTTCACGTGTTGATACAGGTTTTGATGGGCATACTTGTTACTGTCTCATCTATATATGTCAACCAGGTGCAGCATTCAATCTGATACTATAATAAATTAGACATATTAGTCATCTTTCTAAACCAGAAGAGTGTTTCAAATTCCGTAATAAGGGCATCATCCCATCCAAAGTTGTGTCCAGTATTAAGGTCGTGTTCTTCTGGTACCGAATGAGATGGGGCTCTTTTGTGCTCTTTACATTGATCCTTCAAGGTTCTCTGCGTTTCTCTAGCGTAGGCTTTGTTACAATCAGCTTTACAATAGGTAGTGGTGGAGGGTTTGGATTGGTGACTGGTCATAGTGTTACAAGGACTACCTCAAAATTATTTTTGGACATGTAATGTTAATGAATAGCAGATAAAGTTTTGGTTCCAAACTACAGCACTAGCTAGAGTAGAGTCTTTGATGAGTGTTGTGTAATGTGCTTGCATTTTGGTTGAGTATTAGCCTTAAAACTTTGTATTAATTTTATGTTTTTAATGGATTTTTTTCCCTGTGTGCCTAAATGAAAAGATCTGAAATTAAATGAAAATAACATCAGCGTGTGATAAGGTCTAAAATTGAGTTTGCTGCAATTAAATGAAAATAAATCAGTGTTTCATAACATTTGCTGCTATGATCTGAATACTTGCCAGGTTTTAAAGTCGTCTTTTTCAAACCCACTGAATGTGTAGAGCTAGCCACTAGTCACTACCATAGCGCTTTGTTGAAGTCACCCGGCGATTGAGAGTCTTCGGGGCTGGCCATTCCTTACTCATAACAACAATAATATTCTTAATCAAAGGGATTTCGGTAGTAACATTGTTCAGATGAGAGAAAATGGTGCTAAGGTAGTGACTTCAATGCTAGATGTACAATTAAAGATAATCTGAAAGTTTGAGTGAAAACCAACCATTATTAATGATAAAAATGAAAAACTGATCTGATCGGTTCCTCAATTCTCCCAACTATATTAATACAATTTCATTTCATTTTAGGTGAATGTAAATCATCACAAAGCAATGAGTTGGCTCTATATACCATTCCAGACATTTTAGTATTAAAAGATTTTAAAAGCCTGTCTTATGTCTTATTTTTATGGAAAAATGGTCGGGAGAATTAACTGTTAGAGGATGTTTCACAGTGACACCTTCACAGAAAACCATAAATATCTTTGTGGTTTGAGAAGTTTTTCAGGATTTTTTGCATGTTAAAGAGTTAGTACAGTAGAAGGAATATAAGCAGTAACATTTCATACAAAAAGTACAGTTTTTTCATCAACCTTCAACAATGTTACCAAGTCATTTTAAAGGTACACCATACTATGTTGAATAGTCTACAGGCTAGGACTCTAATCAGACCCTTTACCACAATTCCTAAGGCCTTGAGCGGTATGCTGTCAGCCTAGTCTCGGTGCAGACACTGCTATGCACAATGAAAGGCAAGGGTTTTTGCCTGTGAAGTACTACTATGTTCAATGTTTGGTGTGTGTGCAAGTATACTCGTGTATGTTTATAGTACGGCAGTTGTAGGGTATGGTATACCTTTATTGCAAAATCTTGTTATCCTTTTCACTATCATTGAGGCTCGAACTACACTATACGTGAATGTTTGAGATCACGTGCCAAAAAGTGATAGGATGTGTTGTTTATTTTAAGATCACTTAATGTAAGGTGGCACATGCAGATCTCCCAGCTGCACTTTTTTATTCTTTCACTTAAAGCCCCACTGTACTAGTTTGGCCAGGAGGGATTAAACCACCCTGCATGGTCACTGACAGGTGGTCATCTCATCAAATCAGCTCTCAATTAACATAAGGTGTTGTGGTCGAGTGGATACGTCGCCGGACTGTCGATCACAAGGTCCGCGGTTCGACATTGGCAAGACATTGATCTACATTTGCCACACTCTTCCCAGGTGAAGTAAATGGGTACCTGGCAGGAATTAATTCCTTGAAATGCTAGAGCGCCGTATGGCAGCCGTGCTAAAGCCAGGGTAATAATCGGGAGCGCCAGGAGGGTCAAATCTGACTGACGTGAGCGCTATACAAGAACCCATCGTTATTATTATTATAAGAAAACGGACCTTGCGGGCCAATGGTCACCAATTAGGCATTGTTTGCTATATAGAGGGTGCAAGAAGCTATATAAGTAGTGCAGTGGGGCTTTAACATAACTTGTATTCATAGTCCAAATTTAATATTTCTCTTGCAAGCCTCGGGTAAGAGGTACTGTTTTCATTTTTTTATAACATGTATTTTATCATGGCATCTGGACTACGGATATTCTAGAGTACTGGTAATAAAACTATTTTCTTTCTTCATAATCAATTCATTTTTTATATTGATTTTTAACTTTGTTGCTGAATTGAATGTAAAATACCAATAGTATACCAATCCTTCAACCTCCAAAAGCTGATGTAATCTGCAAGGTGAATATTAAAATGCATTGTGGCCCCATCTTAAAAGAGTTCCACAGTTGCTGATACATAAGTCATATTATACAGAGTTGACATCCTTTTAACACTCAACTCAGAAATTGGTTACATTACGAAAGTGGCCCATTGAAGTCGAGTTGCAGGCGCATTGAATCTATCGCAACTCTTTACATGGAAAGTCTGCATTATCAAAGAAACATGGCATTATGCAGAGGAAGATCTGTTCTTCGTTAAATATATGTATGTGGTACATGTGCTGAAAATAGAGAAATATAACTGCATGTATGATGTATAAACGTGTAAATATTTGTTCCCAGTCATTTTTATACATGAACGTGTGACCTACAAGAGTTGATGAAAATAAAGCAATAGGAGCAAGTCCTAAGCAATCTACATTTTGTTTGTATGGATGACTTATTTTGTTCTGTGCTCTTTGGTTGTATAAGAGAGAAACGAGAGACATAAAACCAGGGGTGGTAGTGAGCAACCACGCCCCCTTCAGTAAAAAAGAGGATTCGGGGGGGGGGGGGGGGGCTTTTGAGTAAGAAAAATAGGGAAGAATAGAGAAAATTGGGTTTAAAAAAAATAAAATCGGGCTTTTATCAGGTCTGCATAATACAATGGTAGAGAGGAGGGGTTTCTCTCTCTCCTTCTTCCTCTGTTCTCCCCTCAATCTTTCCCCATTTATCTTTTATCACATCTCTCTATCCTCATCTCTCACTACTTTGTTGCATCTCTTATACTTTCTCATACTTATATTTCTTGCATACCAGTACTTGTTCATTCTATCATCGTCTCACGCTCTCTCTCCTCCCCGGATTCTTTCCTTATTTCTCGCATACTTGTGTATCTATCTCTCTTCTCCCTTCTCTTATTCTTTACATCTTTCCCCTTTCCTGCTCATCTCGTTACTCTCTTGCTCCTTTTCAACAACAGCAGGAAAAACGCTTCAAAAAACATTCTCACACAAAATCCTCAATCAAATAACGATGGTGTCGACCTCTTGAGAAAAAAAACGCCACGGCAGAATAAAGAGTACGTAAGCTCAGTGTAATCCACAAACCGTTATCTATTGTATCTCAAAGACCATAGATGCTAAGCATAGGGCCTTTGTAGTGTGGAACTTCTTTTTTCTTTCTTTTACTATACTCTAATAATCTCAATTTTCTGTGGCGATTTTTTGAAGACGGTTCATACCTCACATCGGAGCAGGGCTAAAGAAAGAATTCATCGACACAAATCGTTACATGGGCACAATCTCCATTTTATTTCCCCTCGATATCAAAAAAAGAAGGAAAAAGAAAATCAAATTTACATCACGTTTCTGAGGGTCTCTCTCTTAATGCTTGGAAAATAGAAAGTTGCGTAGAGAGAGCGAGTTCAAGAGAGAGAGAAAAAGATAAGAGAGTGAGAGAGAAAAGTCATAATATATACACCATCTTGCTATACATAAAATTTTTGTACACATATCTTACAAGATAACTACAAGAAATCAATAAATCAACTATGTTCTCTTTTTTACAAGCTGCGCGGTCCCCCACCACCCGGCTCCCCGAATTAGCCTTCGGGTGGGGGACCAACGCTGATTTCTTATCCTCCTATCTCATTTTTTAAAAACTATATCTCCTTTTCTCTTTATGTTTTCTATTTTTGTAAAGTTCTGTCACTATTCCTTGGACCAAGACTCACAGGTTAGCTCTATAGTGTTAGACCTACACTGTAGACCTCTTTCACAGTTGGTTGAATATATATATTTATATATATTTATACTTTATGTTTACATATTTACACGTATCAACAGCAATCATGTACAAAATAAATTGGTCGTCGTGGTTACCATACACTTCAAACTCCACTGTGAAATGTTATATCAATGCAGTAACAATACCAACGGTCAAAGGTGAAAGTAAGTCTTCGTTTTCTTTTATGTACATACGACAGCAAAACATAGAAACATGGCATTCTTAACATCAATGTCAACTCGAAATAATCTCCTTTTTTTGTCCTTATGGAATTGTTTTTTTTTTCTTTTTTCTTTATGCAACAGAGTTGTTTTCTAACAAAAATATGTCATTTAAATCTCTCTTCTTTTTAAATACAAACATCAACTACTTCTTACATTTTTGACGAACCACATACGGATGCTACCTTTTTTAATAAATTAGAAACAAAGAAACCCTTAATAAAACTCCAAAAGATATCAAATTATCCCACAATCAACTTTGCTTTTCTCCTCATATTAATGGATTGCATATTGTACTGAGGTGAATAATTTGTGCAACATGACCAAACCCCCAAAATAATCTAATCAATCCATTCTACAGATTAATGATCTTCCATCATAAATTGTAACTAAAATGATTCTAAAATTATACAAAAAGAAAAAAAAAAGGTAAAGTGGCTACAGCATCCTCCGTGTTTATTCCCGTTAAGGTCCAGAAAGAACCAGTTTTCTTGAAATTATTCATTTCAGTTTAAAAAAATTGAGAAATAGGTAGTCTATGATTTCACACACAATTATCTGGTCAACATCATCAAGAGAATGTTTTCTCTTTTCACTAAAAAATAACCATTATCCCCTGAGAAGAGGCTAATTATTACAAGATTTGACCGTGTCTTGATTGCAAAACTTTCCAATTTTCGTTTCATCGTCTACGAAAAACTTAAAACCCTATACTGACTACTCTGATTCTATCTACAGGACTACTTCTAACGGCAAATCTATGCAAAGAATACAAGATAGTTTTGTACAACATTCTAACTACTCTGACCTAATGCATTCAGCTACCAACTCATACTCGACTTTCTAGATGAGAAATTAATGTCACCAGAGTGACTCGACCATTTCTCATGGCTAAAAGAATTTTTAATCGTGAAAGTAAAAAGTAACTTGCAGATAAAAATGATGCGTCTTCCTACAGAATCAGCAGTGAACGTTGATATTTAGTCTTTTAAAATGAGAGACAACCATCGATAAAACATAGTGCACTGCAAGGCAGAAATCACAAAGAACAAAACCAAAACAAGACTAGAAAAAAAAAGTCAATAACATCACTATAAAAAGTAACAACAGACAAATCAAACTGAGTGTCACCTTGTGTATACATATCTAAAAACAAAAAGAACTTTTCTCAACTTAACTCGCGAATGAATAACTATCACAACAGCCGATTCAACTCTAGTTTATCAATTAACAACTGCCACAAACACGACTATAATAGTGACAGCTAAGAACATTGGACGGATCTTATTTTTTCCTTCAATATATCAATAATTACGACAACATTAATTCACAAATATCTAGCTATTTCTGTAAATCTTCCAACCTTCATTCAGTGAGCAACACGTGCACCTGATCGTTCTTTTTCGAGAACGGATTCCAAGAGCGTCCTTTATGAATGGCATTTAGTCAAATCGTGCAATTTTTAGTTATTTCCTCACAGAGCAAAAAGAAGCTACTGCCACGCTGCTTTTCTCCATCAGGTATGAGTGGTATATCCGAGACTGTCTTAGCAGGTACATAATTCATCTGATCACAGCCAGAATCCGGTATATAATTCTACTGATAAACAACCAATATGTCTTTCTTCTAGTGACCAAAAGATTGAGGAAAGTTGATACATTTAGGTGGAAAAATCTTGGGATCCCTCTCGCTGATGCTATTATGACTAATAAAGCATGAAATTCTTTTTGAAAACATGAGGCTTCCAAAATAGATTTTAGGTGTGTGGGGGGGGGGGGGATATCAGATTTTCATGTCATTTACTTTCAAGGGCACTTCCCAAAGTTAATGAATCCCATTGAAAATTAATAGAATCAAATAAATAAAGTGATCACTAAAATGGAATCATGTAAACATTGCTTAATGAAAGGTGGTGTGTTTGAGAATCACACTGAAACATTATGTTACCAAGGGAACCTGGGATTTTTAATTGGGTGTCTTTGATTTCCCATGTTGCTGTGGACAGCCAATGGAAAATCCTGGAGATCAAGTGTTTGATTAAGTCGTTGGTTGCTCAGAGCATTAGATGGCTCATGATGGATTCGTTATCAACCTCGTCATGATGCGGTTTCCATGGTGATGACAAGATGAGTCATCACAGAAACTCTTCAAGATGCATCAAGATGACAATCACAGGAAAGGAAAGCTTCTGATCACAACAACGGTTTCTTGTCTAGCCGGCCGGCATATTGCATCGGTAGACACATCTTCTTCCACCACCGGGAGAACTCGATAGCAGAAGGTTGCCGAGGTCCCAACCTCTTCACGATGCGGTTGCTATGACGATCATGAGATGAGCGATCTCCTGGACGCTCTCGAGGAGGTCCGGAGAGAGGCGCGAGAGATGAGCCTCGGTGAACTCACATGGAGGGAAGATGTGTAGAACAAAAGCAGCCTGTGGATGGAACATAAAATAAAAAATAAATAAATAAATAAATAAATAATAATAATAAAAATAATAATAATAATGGGTTCTTGTATAGTGCTCATGTCAGTCAGATTCGACTCTCCTGGCGCTCCCGATTATTATCCTGGTTTCTTTAGAATTGTTATGGTTGTAGGATATATATTTACAATTGTAGCTGACAGACATTTGCTCTGGAACCAATCGCTCCAGGCTTTATCAAGTCACAAATATAGGAATAGAGTTACTATTTTCTTATTCTTCCCCGCCCCCTCTCTTTTTTTCTCTCTCTCTGAGTTTATAACATCTCTATCTCCCTAACTTTTGGAATCTGTGAGATGCTATGTCAATAATTTCAGTGGTATACAGCATCTATCCCTCTCTATCCCCCTTCCTCCCTCCCTTCCTCCCTCCCTTTCTCCGAGTTTATAACATTTCTTTCTGCCTACCTTTTGAGATCCATGAGGTGCGACGTTGATGATGCCAGCAGCCTGCTTGCTGAGTAGGTACTCGATGAAAGAGACACGTAAGGTGTTTGTCTGAGCTATCACGTCGGTCTGGTCATGGCCGCAAGGTAAGGCAAGCAGTACAACAGACTCCTCTTCAACCTGTGCAGAGAGAGAAAAGAGATTAATGATACAGTCAAGTACTTGTTATATGAATACATTATGAAAGAAATTGTCCGGAAGTGATTGGAAAAGTTGGTTGTGGAGAACGTAAGAATTGGTGTACATTGTGAGATTTCGGAACAGATTCCAACTGATTATCAAGTTATAGAATACATGGTTTCAGTGTAAATGTAATTTATCTAGTAAAAGCTTGTGAGCTTTTTTTTCTTTTGCTTATCTTATCCAAACCACTGTTCATTAACACAATAAACAGTCCATACTTACTGTCAGCCAGCTGCTTTTAAAATTTAGTTTAATCGGCCAGTGCCCCGTAGCACAAAGACAAGTGAGAAATTGATTGCTATTTTACTGTTGATTCATTCATTTCATTTTTATTTTTTCATTTCCAACAAAATACAATACATAATAACGAATACAATGTAAAATGTATACAAAACATAGTTACATTTGAAATAAACAAATCTTAATAGTAATTTATACATTAGAGGAAGACAGTTGGACAATCAAAATACCACACAATCCATCGATCAATTGTATAATCAATTACTACGATTTGTGAATCAGGGCCAAGAAACCAAGATCAGATGTGACAGAAAAAAATTGTCTTTTCATCACTAGAACTCAAGATCAAGGGGGAGTTTCACAAAAATTGTCATCAGAGACAAATGACAGTTTTTGTTATAAGCTACTGAAATCCTTGCTTCTGATTGGTTATCAGCAGATTTGTCTCTAATTTTTGTCGTTTGTCATTGAAAAAGGGCTTTGTGAAACGAGTCTCCTATGTCACTGAAAAAAATTGTCTTGTCATCGCTAGAACTCAAGATCAGTTCTAAATAAAAGAACGGAAGAACTGAACTGAACCAAAGATATCCCAGAAACATTAGTCTGTTGTTGAACGTACCTGCATCCTGCTGCCGACCCCATCCAGCTGGGAGGGTTCCAGCCTCATCCTCTGGGCAACACGGAGGGGTGGAGTAGCCATGATGAGGGAGTCTTGGGCAACCGACTGGCTGCCTGAGACGTAGTGCATCTGGATAGCAGCCGCCTCGTTCTTCAGGGCTAACACGCCTTGCCACATCACAGGATAGCGCTGCGGGTAAAGAGTGTTTAAAATATGGTTGGGTTACTTGTGGTAGTAGGAATTGATGGGGTGCATGGAGTGGAGTACGTGTGAATGTACGTTTCAATATTAGAATGTTCCGTAAGATGAAGCAGACAAAAATATATATTGCAAGATTGTATCGAGATAAAAGTTACGGTCCGATACAAGTGTACTTCATAATTACGGGATTTTCAACTAAATAAGAGATCAGGGGTAATGATTTGAAAACAATATATGCTCCTGCTATTTGCCAAGAAATAAATATAGTAAATATAAAAGTTCTTTAATTTGGGGATCTTGGTAGCTGATGAAAATATAGGTCTGAAACAGATTTGAAATTTGTGTAAACCAATTTATGAAAACTTCTTCTTCTTTAAATAACTTTTCTCTAACTTGGTAAATATGTCTACTTTGTTTAAGATTCATGAAATCTTAACAATTTAACTAAAGTTGACTTACCATGAGTAGACCCATGAGAGAGTCCGTTCCCTTGATCGGCATGTGAGCTGATAACTGCATGGGTTGCATAGAACCAGGATGCATAGGCATACCAGGTGGACCTTGACCAGGCCAGGCCATGTGAGGCATCGCTTCTCTCATCATCGGCCGGAACTCCTGACCCGTTGGTCTCATCATCAACTCATCCTTGCGCCCGACTCCAGGATGGGTCTGGCGATAGTGCTCCAGTCCGGCAGTTGTTGTCTTCTCTGGACCGCCGATGGGACGCGGAGAGGCGAGATGTTGATCTTGAAGGTGCATAGGATCCGTTGGGATGCCGAGGATCATGGATTGCTGATCCATCTTCTGAGCGTCTTCCGGCTTACCGCCCTGTGAGCGTGGTTCCACTCCGTAGCCAGGTGGCCTCACGACCATCTGCGGCATGCCGCGATGGGATATGGTTCGCATTGCCATGTCCATCCTTCCGGGAGGTATGCCAGAAGAGATTCCTGGAGCCCGTGGTGGAACACCTGATGGGATGCCTGGCATGATCTGGACAAGGTCTGGTGTGAGTTGGTCTCGACGTTCTGGTGTTGGGATGGGCTGTGGACGATCAGCATGAGCCATAGCTGGTGACTTGACTCTGGGTGATACTCCAGGGGATGAGGCACTCGGTGTTGGTAGACGTGGTGATCCTCCAGAGGATGCTTCAGTCATGCCTTGCTGGTAGATCATCCTGGGAAAACCGGGTTGAGGCACTCTGAATGGTGGAAACATGGTCCCAGGAATTCCAGATTTGCTCATGTCCAGCCCAGGAACAGGCACTATACCAGGCATTGGTTGGCTGAGATTGCGAGTTTCTGACATGGGATCAACCACTGCATGCATACCTGATATAAAATCTTTGCCGTATGGCATTCCTTGCACAGGATGTCTGATCTGTTGTTGTCTCATGACAGCTGCTGCTTGAGGAAGATGAGCACCAGATGAAAGATAGGCCATTGGTCCTGAATCAGTCACCCTGATCATTGGCGGTAGACGTTGTTCTAGAGGAGGATTCTTCTGTCCTCTCTGGTCACCAGCTGCCATCTTCTCTGCATCTTCAGCTTTCTTGTGCATCTGAGCAGGATTCTGCATTGGTGGATAGGACCGGAGTTCAATGTGAGGATGTTGACTTGGGTCGATGACTCCTGGCTGCTGAGGAAGGTTGGGATGCATTCCTTTACTGTCAGCTAGTGGCCTGCCTTGCCCAGCCTTCACACTTCCATCTGCCTCCTTCTTCGCATTTGGCTTGTGGTCTGTCAAGGCAGCTCTGAGGACACTGGCATTTGGAAGGGTCGGGGCTGCAACTGACACAGGTACCCGGAGGTTTCCTGCCGGTGCTCCACGTACCTGCTGGATGTTACCACCCTGCGACGATGCAATACTGGAAGTTAGCCCTGCAGATGTGGCACTGGGTGGACGTGAGTACTGTATAGTTGGTGATAAGGTTGAGGGTTGACTGACTGGTGATTGTGTAAGCAACCCGCTAGGGAATCCCGGATGTCCAGCATGCATGATTCCAGCAGAAGATGCCTGAGGCAAGTTTGCCATGGGTGATGTATGAAGTACTGATGAAGAGGTTGTGGTATTTGCTCCAGTAGCAGGACCATTAGACACAAGGTGCTTGACAATGGTTGGTGCCTCCATAGCTGCTGATGGCCCCATTGGACCCGGTTTCAACTGGGTCATGGCATGCTGGTTTGCCAAGGCTTCTGCAGTGCTGTTTGGTGGATGAATGTGGTGTGATAGTTGGATCTGTTCATGAGACTGCTGATGTCCTGGAAGCCTGTTCTGTTGATTGCGATTGTGTGGCAACCTGGCCAGTGCCTCGTTGAAGTGTTGTTCGACAGCTGCCTCAGCCTGACTCTTCTGAGGTCCATGGAGTTGTGCGACCTGGTGCATGTTGAAATGCTGACCTGGAACCATTTGCTGTTGCATGTGACCTCCTGGCATCCAGTTACCCTGCTCTGGACCAGAATCCCTACGGGACTTCCTGGGACGTTGTTGTCTCTGCTTCTTCTGGGTGCCATTAGGATCTTGGATAGCCACATGAGATGTAGGTGGTGTTGACAGTGCAGCAACAACAGTTGGCATGCTCACAGAAGGATTCTGCACCATACCGCTAGAAATTGAAGAAGGCATGTTTTGTTGGGGTAACTTTCCCATCATATTGTGGGCTTGTGTCATAGCCATCTGGGCATTGGTAGTCATACTACTTGATGCAGTGGGGAGTTGAGCATGAGAAATAGCTGTAAAGTTCATATTTGCGGAAGGAGCGGTACTGAATTGTGGGGGTCTATCTGGTGCACCTACTGCATTGATGCTGGCAGGAGCAGAACTTGTCTGAGGTCCTTGAGCGGGAACAGATCCAGGAGTAGCATGCTGAGTGAGCCATGGATCAGGTTGAGGTACCTTCTGCCCATCAGGAGACTGCATCATAGCAACCGGACTAATCTGAGGTACAGCTGTAGCTGAAGGCATCACTGGCTTTCCAAGTTCAAGAAGTGCAGACACAGTTTCATTCTGGGACACGTCCACATGGACACCTTGGCCCTGTTGGGCTTGGGCATGCATAGCCTGAGCTGCAGCCTGAGCTTGAAACACATGGGCTTCAGCATGTATTCGTTGTTGCTGCTGCAGCTCGGCATGCATTCGTTGTTGCTGCTGTAGCTCTAGAGCTGCAAGCTCATCCCTGATTTTCATTGTCCCTCCCCTTGAGTTGGTTCTACTCCTTCCTCTTCCACCACCTCTGGTACCTCTACCTCTATTACGTCCACGGGTAGGCTGTGGCTTGTTGAGTGGTTGCTTCAACTCACTTGATCCTGGACTAGATTGATCCGGGAATTCATATACATCAGAATTTATCTTGTGGTCATGCAGGTTGGCAGGATACATGGAGCTTGGCTCTATATGGTCTAGGACTTGATGAGGTCGTGCTGGCATGACACAGTTCTGCTCAGGTGCTGCAGGTGGTGCAGGTGCATGCTGCTGCGGAGGCTTTGCGAGATCTTGACTGACTCCTGGCTCAGGTTGTGCTTCCATCTCACCACTCATCTTCATTTTCTCTTTACCAGCCTCGTCATGCTTCTCGTCATCTTGGAAATCAAACACGCTTAGATCAGCCGGGCCAGACTTTGACAATGATCCCGATCTTGTCCTTGGTGGGATACTGGACTCCTTGGCACGTGGAGAGAAGAAACGAGATTCCTTGTTGCCGTCCTTAGCTCCCATTTCAGTCTTCTTGTCTGGAGAAGCCATCTTTGCTATGATGGCAGCCTCATGGGCTTGTTGTTCCCTGTATGCTTCACCAGCATCTGACGCTGTTGGAGGAGTAGGTATCGTAGGTTGAGCTGTGTCTATAGCATTAGCTGTCTGCACAGGAATTTGGACTGGTATCTCAATGGATGATGTCTCTACTTCGTCTTCTGCAAACAGGAGGTTAGCTACTGCCTCTTCCATTTCTGTCTTTTCTTGCAAGCTTGGTTCTTCAGCAGGGCGGTTTACACCAAGGACTGGGGTGGCATGAAGGACTGGGGTGGCATGCACATCACGGCTTGTCTGTTTATCAGAATCAAAGGCACTTTCTGCCGTAATGAGAGCTTCCACTGACTGCTCTACCTCTGACTTGATGGGTAACAGCTCTTCTGCCACACCCTCTACTCGACCAGAAGCATGTGATGCCACAGCTTCCATCTTACCTTGGTTGAACACGTCAGTCTGACCTGCTGTAGGCATAGTTTTAGATTCTCGACCTCTGCTGTTCCTTTTACTTCGTTCCTTCTTTTCCTTTCTGAAAAGAGGACTGCTTGCGAGGTCGGCGATAGAGTATGGCTTGTGGGCACCAGGGACATCTGGAGGGTATCTGCCCCCAATGTTTTCTGCATTCTGTGATGTTTCATGGTCTGATTTCTCAAGAGCTGTCAAGGCTTGTGCAACGATTGGATGATTCTCATCTTCAAACGAGTCTCCAAACATAGAGGATTCCTTCGTCAAGGCCGCACTGACTGGATTTGACTGCTGGACGGACGTAAGGCTGATCTCTCTGTTTGAGTTGGCAACGGCTGCTTCCGCTATTTGAAGGGGCTCTGGAGATTTTGCAATCAAGGTGGTAGTAGAAGAAGCCTGGAGATTCCTTTGCATGTCACCATCATGCACCTGGCCATCTCTGTTCATGAGACCACCACCAGGGAGGTGACCTGGAGCATCATTGGTGATGTCTTCAAGCATAACAGGATTGACAGGGTAAGGTCCATCATTTGCTTTCTGAACCTCACCATAATCAATAACAAACTCTGTTTCGATTTCCACTGTGCATTCTCTTTTAAGCGGAGGCCTCTCCTGATCTCTATGCTTCTTCTTTTTCTCTTTCTTGTCTTTGTCTTTCTCCTTCTTGTCCTTCTTCTTTTGTTTTTTTGCTTTCTTTTCAGCTTTTCTCAATGCTCTTTCCTTCAGCTTCTCTGGATCCATATCTTTGCTCTTGTTCTTATGCTTCTTCTCCTTATGTTTCTTTTTATGGTGATGTTCACTTTTCTTGGCAGGATCCATCGCATCTCTCTTTTCCTCTTCAATGATGAGTTTACCTTCTCCATCATCCTCCTCATCAGGAACTGAAGTCACGACATTTTCAGCAGGCTGCAATAGTACTGCATTATCTCCACAGGAGTTAGCCATAGCAAGTTTGCTGTTCTCATGGTACTGAATGCCGTTTCCTTGTGCTGAGTTAAATGCTGACACTTCTGTAGAAAAACCTATTGGCACCTCATCATCTGAAATAGGCACAAGGGGACCTTCACTCTGCGGCATTACAGTATCAAGAACAACACTTTCCTCTTTCTTGGGATCTTGGCCAGGTAGTGCATTTTCAGTAACGGCATCAGAATGATGTTCTTTGTTTTTCCGCTTTTCCTTCTTCGATTTGTGCTTGTCTTTCTTAGCCTTTTTAGATTTATCTTTCTTCCTGGGTTCTTCAACAGATACTTGATTCTGGAGTTCCTCCTGGGCTTTAGCAGCTGCTGCAGCTGCTTCTTCTTCTTCTTTACGCCATTTTTCAGCTTCCTCCTTCTCAATCCTCTGTCGTTCTTCTTCTTCTTCTCTCCTAGCCTTTTCTTCTGCTATCCTCTGTTGCTCTTCCTCCTCTTCCTTTAGAATCCTCAACCTTTCCTCTTCTTCTGCCCTTTGCTGCTCCTCCTCTCTCTGTTTTCGTTCTTCCTCCTCTCGCCTCTTTTCCTCCTCCCGTTGTCTCCTCTCTTCCTCCTTCTGCTTCCTCTCCTCTTCTTTTTTCCTTCTCTCCTCTTCCTTTTTCTTCTTCTCTTCCTCCTTTCTTTGCCGCTCTTCCTCTTTCCGCTGTCTCTCCTCCTCTTTCCGTCTCCTTTCTTTCTCCTCCTCTTTCCTCTTTCTTTCCTCCTCTTTAAGTTGCCTTTCCTCCTCTTTCCGTAGTCTTTCCTCTTCCTTTCTCCTTAACTCTTCCTCCTCCCTTTTGCTTTCCTCTGCCTCTTGCCGCAGTCTCTCTTCCTCCTCTGCCTGCCGTCTCTCCTCTTCCTCTTTCTCAGCTCTCAATCTTTCCTCCTCTTCTTTCTTAGCCCGGAGCCTCTCTTTCTCCTCCTCTCTTCTCTGCTTCTTTGTCTTGCTAACATCTTTCTTCTTAGGTGTTGTTTCTGCTTCTGTTTCACTTTTAGGCTCTTGTTTGATCTCTACATTGGGTTCAACTCTATCCTGCCTCTTCAAGTCTTTACTCTTCCTGGGCTTATCACCTTTACCAACATCTTTCATATCCTCTTTCTCCCTTTTGATGTGGACTTCCTTGTGCTTGACTTTCTCATCCTTCTTCTTGTGTGTTGGTTTGGACGGGAGCTTAGGTTCCTCACACCTCTCTTCCACATCAGAAGAACTCATCTTGGAGTCGGCATCGGTGTCAGTAAACTCTTCTTTCACTTTGATCTTCCCCTTTTTACCAAACTTCTCCTTCAATTTCTTTGACTTTTGAAGAGCTTTTCGTTTACCCTTACTGGACAGTTCATCCCTGGAAGATTTCTTGGGGCTTTCCTCAGCATCAAGCCCAGAGGATCCCTCATCAGAATCGGACGAGTCATATATCAATTTCCGCTTCTCTACCTCCTGAGTTTTCTTTGGCTTAGGTTTGACAGAATCCTTCCTCTTCGTCTGGCGATTGATAAATTGCTCAAACTCAAGTTCGTCATCCGATTCAGAGCTGTTGTCTGTGTCTGAGAAGGCATCCATGAGAGCCGCTACTCCACCTCTGGACGGTGTCGGCTGAGGTTTCACCTTCTTTGTCCCACTTGGTTTTTCAGTAGCAGATTTGACTGGAATGTGAGCCTTGGTTTTCTTATCTTCTTTAGGCTTCTCTCTGTCCTCCTTCAGTTTCTCCTTTTCTCTCCTCTCCTTCTCCTCTCTCCTCTCCTTTTCCTCTCTCCTCTCCTTCTCCTCTCTCTCCTCCATCTCCTGCTCCTTCACCTTGTCGACCTTCTCTGTCTCTGGATGATCTTTCTCCTTCTTCTCAACCTTGATCTTCTCCTTTGGTTTCAATTTAGATTTCACTTCCTTTCCCTTTATATCTTTCTTTTTAGGAGTACCTTTCTCAGATGTTTCTTCTTTTTCAGTGATGTCTCTTTTCTCTTCCTCGACAAACTTTTCGGTTTTGATGGCTTTTTCCCTGGAGTCGCTCTTCTCAGACTTGATGAATTTTTCTTTGCTCTCTTTTTTATCCTTCTCCGGGTCTTTTCCTTTATTCTTATCATTCACCACCTCCTTCTCCTTTCCCTTTCTCTTCACTGAAACATCATCTCTCTTATTGTCATCTTTGTTCTTGTCCTTATTCTTCTCAATGGCAGAGGTATCCTTGCTCTTTGTCACCTTTGATACTTTGTCTTCATCTTTACTGACATCAGCTTTGTGGTCTTTGTGGTCACTGGACTGGGCTTTCTCAGATGATGTGCTCTCCTTCTTGAAGACTTTCTTCGCATCATGTTTTCTCACATCATTGCTCGTTTTGACAATCCCTTTATCAGTTGAAGTTCTTGGTGTCATAGACCCCTCACTTGATTTTCTGACAATCTCCTTGCCTTCATTCTTGTGGGTGTCCTTGTGGGTGTCCTTCTGGTCCTTGTCTTTGCTCCTCACTTCTATGATCTTATCTTTGCTGAGTGCTTTGTTGAGCGGTTTCTTTTCCTCTTCTACCATCCTGTCCTTGCTACCAACCTTGGAAAGAGGCCTCTTTTCCTGAATACCCACTTTATCCTTGACAGGTTTAACCTTTGCCCCAACTTTTGGATCTTTTTTGCCATATTCCCTTGGTGTCATCAGGAGCATGTTTGTGGGGTACTCTTTCTGAGGTGGTGGCGGCGGAGCCTCTGAAACTGCTTTCTTAGTCCCAGATGGACCCGATGATGGCTTGGACTCTGATTTTACATCTGCATCCAGTTTTGCATCTTGAGCCTTCTCTAGGATAGGAGGGCTGGGAGATCTTTTACGTTTCAGGGCTGCAGACTTTGGCGTCGTGGCCTTCACACTAGCATCAGAATCTGGTTTTGCGTCTTTGGTCTGGGTGGTATCTTCTGCAACCACATGGACAGATGATGGCTCAGGCAGGAGATTGGTTTCTTTCTTCAATATAGATTTTAGAGGTGAAGGTTCCTTAGACTTCGGCTCAGGGCTCGATTTCTGATCTCCAGTTAAAGCATTTGTCTTCGATGAATCGTCTCTGATAGGTGAGGTAAGGATTTCAGCTTTGGAATCCTTGGGTTCTCTTGGATCTCTTGGGTCCCTTGGATCTCTTGGATCTCTGGGATCTCTGGGATCTCGTGTCGATGAGACTGATGTTCCTCTACCAGGACCCAACTTGTAGCTAGAACCAGACTGGCTAGAATTCAATCCTGGATTTGTTCTGTTGCTGTTCTGATTAAGCAATGTCAGGCGATTGTGATCCTTGCCCGCTCGAATAAGTGGTATACCATGTTTCTTCTCTTGACCATGCTCCGGATGAGAGCTGTTCTCCAGGCGAGCTAAATCCTGATCAAAGATACTGCTTCGCCTCACACGAGAACGTAATACTTCCAGAGGATCTTCAAACTCCTCTTTCTTCTGACTCTCTGGGAGGATAATCACAGGTAAGCTGTCAGATTCTGAGCTTCGGGGCTTCTTCTTTAACCTGGCATACAGAGGTCCCAACCTTGCCTTATTTCCAAATAACTCTGCCTTCAAATCAGGAGTTGCTCCAGGAGTCCCAGGTGTTGTAGGTGTGGCTGGAGGAGTACAAGTGGTGATACTTGTTAAATTATTCAACTTATCTTTCAATAAGAGGTCAGTTTTGACTCCATCCTTGGTTATTTCCCCACTCTCTTCCTCTTTCTTTAACCTCTCAAGTGTAGCCAGTGACTTGGCCTTCTGAGTCCTCTGCCTCTCCTCCTCTTGTTTCATCATAGCATCCACTGTCCTGAGACGTTCCTCCAGAGCCCGCTCTGGGGATGAGAAGTGGTCCTTCAGTTCAGGAGGCAGTTTGGTTCTCATTTCGGTTCTCACTTCCGTACTCTCTGGTACCCGGGGTGCGACCGCGCTGATACTCAGCTTGGCCGATGCACAGAGAGCAGATTCGATTATTCCATCTTTCCCAAAAATTGGGTCTCTGGAGAAGTCTTTGGCATAGGGTGATTCTTTGTGAAGAGGCAAGTCTTTACTCGTGAAGGTGATTTCTCGACTCAGTGGCACCACCTCTTTTCCAAAACCAAGTTCCTTGATGATCGGCGAATCCTTTCTTGGCAAAGAGAACGGAAAACCATCTGAAGGGAATAGGAGTGGTTTCTCTGCTTTTACTGGTGTCACTGCTGGGCTTAGTAAGGGTGCTGAAGCGGTAGGAGAGAGATTCTCGCTGACAGTCACAGAGATGTTTTGGTGAGGAGGCCTCGGTGAAAGCATCGGAAGTGATTCCACATCGTTTTGGACAGGATTTGATGTGGTCACATCCAACTGAGGAAATGTTCCTTGTGATAATCTCTTATCAAGTTCAGTCATCTCCTCACAACCTGAAATATCTTTTTCCTTCTCCTTTTCATCTGTCTGGTCCTGGGATGTCATCTCTTGGATTTTGTCAACAGAATCAATCCTCACATCAGGCTTTTCTTTGACAGTTCCTACACTAAGTGTCTTTAGGTCATCTTCACTGCTTCTGTGTCTCGTTCGGTACATCCGCTTGGCAAGGCTATCCTCACCCGACGAAGGGAACATGGCATCAAGCTGTTTCCTGCGAATACTTGGAAACTCGACAGGGGTTAGCCGTATCAACTTCCACTCTATTTCCACATTTTCAGTAGACTGGTCAAGTTTTGGTTTAGATTTGGGCGTCTCGGAATCATGCAAGGCCATCTTTGCCTCACCGATCTTTTCACTCTCCTCCACTTGTTCAGTGATAGATGAAGTGAAAGAGTCTCTGCTGGTATTTGCACTGGTTGTTGTTTGCAACAAGGTAGGTAGCGATGATGAAATGGTCGGAGTTGGAGGAGTATGAGATGATGTTGAAGGTAAAGAATCCTGAGTACCTGGTTGCTCCTGCTGTTGCTTCTGCTGCTCAAAGGACTTCCTAGCTGCCTCCATTTGCTTTCGATAACTTAAACTTGCATCAATCTGTGGTTTTTCAAAAGTGTCAACGGGCGGTGTTGATAGAGAAGCACCAGTTAAGGGTGGAGTCTCTGATTCACCGGGGGTAGCCACAGGGGGCACTTGAGAGTTCCTTGCAAGAAGAGCAAGCGCTAGTTCCTCATCTGATGGGACTGTTTCTTGATCACTTGAGCTAGCAATGCCCTCATCAGCATCTGTTAAGTGGGGAATGCGAACCTCCTGCGATCTGTTTCGGGGTGTGGAATGTGAAGGGTGGCGATTCGCAATCAGTTTCTCAGTTCTTTCGCGATGAGATTTCTTTGGTTTTTCAGAAAGGGCTTTCTTTCCCGCTTCCTCAGAGACCTCTAACTTGACTCTGGGGACATCATCTGTTTTTACTATTCGGGTATTCAAGAGTTCATCATCAGACTCGCTATCTTTCTCCTTGTCATCCCAGAAGCTATTGCCATCAGTGCTACCAGGTTCAATGTTAAACGTTCTTTCACTTTGGGGCATGTCATATTTTAAGCCAAGACGGTCTTTGACCGGTCTGCTTGTGTCTATCACTGTCCTAATGTCCAAACCAATGGACATCGCAGCGTCAACCTTTGGAATGTTTTCTTTATGACTAGAGGTGTTCTCGTCCGGACTCAACTTCATTCTCGGAACTTTGGAAACAATAGATGGCAATTTTTCTGCGAACCCTTTGTCCTTCCGTAGCTTTGTTATGTCAATGATAGGACTGTTATCACTAAATCTCTGCTTTCGGGCTTCCAGTTTCCGCTGCATTTCCACCTCATCATTGGAGATAACAACGGATTGCAACTGTTCTGAGTCGAGCTTTCTGCGTTTCCTTGCCTGCTCACTAGGTTCACTGTTCACTGTCTTGTTGCTCAAAGTTCTATTGATCTCTGCAGATACCTCTTTGGATTTCACTTCAACTTTAACATCTGCTACCGTTCTATCTTTCACTTCTTTGCACTTTTTCTTCTCCTTCAAATCAATATCCTCGGGGGTACTCCTCTTTTCCACCTTTTCTTTCACTTTCTCAGGTTTCCGTAACTTTTCAGTAGTCCTTTCTACCTTCCTATCAGAGTCTAATTTCTCACGCTTCACCACTATATCGTCAGGATCTCGCACAATATCCGGTTTCCTTGATTTTAACTTGGATTTCCGATGTGATTCTGTCCTTTCCGAGGAGGAACTCCTCTCTTCACTATCCACAAATTTGTTCTTCCAGGGTTTGTCATCCCTGTAGCCATCTTCTGAGTTTGGGCTTCGCATGACCGGCGTGAAAGACCCTTCCTTGTTCTGGACATTGATGGTGCTGCGTGGTGTTCTCTTCCTGCTGACAGGAGGGCTTACGCTTCTGGCGCTGTAAGGACTGTCATCGTCCGGAGAATCTAGACTGGCACTCCGTCTTCTCCTGTCATACCTGTGTAGCAACAAACAAGATGAAGAACAATGAATATAAAGAATATCCTTCCAAGCCGAATCTGACTCTTGATCTTTGGGGGTCTTGTACATGATTGTACAATTGTGTTTAAATTATACCAGATTTTAACCAGTAATTTTTTTTAAATAACAGATATTATTGTTTTTAATATTCAATGAAAATAAAGTTCCATCTCCACTTTTCTGGGATGGACAAGAACAAGTTGCTTCAACTTGTAATTGATCTTGAATGTCAACATTTTTTTTCTTGCTATAAAATGTAAATTGATTAAAAAATATAAAAGATATTCAACTCAATAACTCATTTATTTCAATTTTAAATTTTAATCATGTCAAAGAGAATGCTAGTCTAGTTATTTAAATCCTAACATGAAGGCAGGTCAATCCAAAGACAATTAACTGGTAGAGGAAACGCACCTATCATGAGGACTGAGACTTCTACTCCTATCTTTGTACTGCTGCTCTCTCCTCTCCTGCTGATGTACTCCATACTCCCTCAGCTCCTTGGCGTACGAATCCTCCATCTCGAAGCTCCCGCCGCTGCTCCGTGAACCCACGAAATCATCCTCCAGGTGCCTCGTGCTGGACTCGCCTCCGCTACCCGAGCGAAAGAACTCCAGCGACCCGGTCTGACCTGGAGGGAAGGCATCGTCACCGCTACCTGAGAAGTTGAAGCTGTTGTTCCCATTGCCGCCGGTTCTTGAAGCAGAGCTGAACGCACTCTGGCTTCGTCGCTCACGCCGATTCTCAAAGGGACTGAACTGGCGGAACTCCCGACTGGAAAATAGAAAAAAAATCACTTAAATGCAAATACTGTTATCAACAAAAGAGATTGATACTCCAAAAAGTAAAAATTACAAGTTTGAGGGTTACTGACACCATGTTTATACAAAACAACCCAAACTTCACTCACACTCAGAACGGTGTTTGAAAAGGAGCAATTTTTTGAGCTTCTCCATTGTAATGTTACATAATCCAACATGATGGTACAATTTTGATCGAATATCGGATGAATTACTATAACATTATTAAACATGACAAGACTGATCAATGTGCTTGCATAGTAACATGTCATATACATTTATTGAAGCCATTTGTAGCCTTAAAAAAATATATATTCAAAAGCAAAAATTCAAGTATTTTAAACTTTAAATAAATTCCACATCAAGAACATGAAATCTCCTTGATAATAGAAAATATGAATGATTTGGATCAACATTCTATGCCTTTTAAATTAACTTTTACAAAATGTTTTCATAGATGCTAATTGCTTTCCATAAATGTTAAGTCCAACTTAGAGGTAAGTTCAACTTAGGATCTTTGTGAAACACCCCCCTGGTCTTTGACACCCAAACTTACCTGGGAGTGGTTGCCCCAGCGGGGGTGCCGGTACCAGACGCGGCCCCAGTGGCTGCGCCCTCGCGGAAGGCGGTCGGGGTCCTGTCAGCTCCACCTGACGGCGAGGGAGACCTGCTCCTCTGGTAGTAGACGGCTTGGCCCGTACGCTCCATTCGGTCGTAGAAGTGATTCTGACATTCCCTGCTCGCAAAGTCAACCTGGGGTAAGACAGGAAAGGAGATGAGAGTAAAATTAGGAAGTTGAGATAAATAATATATTCTAAAATGCAGAAGTAACTCAATGAAAGAAATAATACAAGATTATAGAGCCAGACATGGACTTTGTAATCTCAATTTTGTTCAGGCTTTAAAAAAAAACTAAAAAATGAGAGGTAGAAAATGATTTGGTTCCATACTGGAACGTAAATTCTAACAATGGCAAAACTGCACTACACTTGCATAACCTATAAGCCTGTGTCAGTGTGTGTATAAGCTACAGTCTACACACATGCTATCTCCATGCGAAGGGCCTAGATTGATATGCCGGGAGCCATCGGGCTGGAAGGGGTTCTAGCATAGAGGAGTGTATAGCGGGTACCCTAGCATTTTTTTTGCAGACATTTACACTATGACTCACCAGAAATCATGGATAAAATAATACCAAAAAAACTTGAACATATATCTTTTGATACAAAGAGAAACAAAATGACACTATAACTTAACATGTTTCTTTCCAGTTTCATTTTCGCTACGAAAACTGTATCCAGAAGTAAAGATAGAGCAAAGTGACCCTGGTCAAGGATGACCATTCAACTGACCTTTGGCCTCCGATTTGAGATCTTGCCATTCTTCATCTCCTGGACGGCCTTCTGAGCATGCTCAATGTTGTAGAAGAAAACCAGCGCCATCCCGGACCGCTTGTCCACGACCACCCGCGAGACCTGGCCGTAACGGAGGTTGAAGAAGCGGCCGAGCGTCGTCTCGTTGGTAGAGGGAGCTAGACTGTCCAGCCACACGCAGTTGGTCGCCATGCTCTTGCCAAAACCAAGCTGTGAGGGTGAGAAAAGTCTTGGTTATAAATACATGTCCCATGTGCAAAATGCTTCATGATGTTTCTATAAGGGTGTTATTGCTATGAGTGACCATTCAGTATGTGCATTAAGATTGGAAAGGGAGGGGGGAGGGGGAGAAAAGAGGGGTAAAGTAGATATCCTCACAATTGTAGGTATAAAGTGGTACCAACTGATTGCATGATATATTGCCTTGCAAATCATGAAATAACCTTATTTTTTTATGGATCACATTTTTGTATAAATCAGCTGTAAACGTCTGTAAGGACTCGCTCATCTGGTCGTCTGTGTGTTCAAATTCGACACACATTTTGGACAATAAACAGTGAGCATGCGCAGAAGTACCTTGGAAGAAAATATCAAAGAGAGCATGTGCAGTTCTGCACAGGAAAAAATAGTGAAACCTATTCGGAGCTTTGGCAGAGATTTGTTTTTACTAGTAAAATTATACTTTCATCACGTGAGCACCAATTGACCAATCGCGTATTTAGAATACTCATGAATATTCATAGAAGGGATATAAACATGTATATATTTATATAATCACAACATATATAGTTACAACATTTATATAGTTACCTTGACTTTGTTCTTGCCTACATATTCCCCATCCAGCTTCTTCCTAGCCTTCACCACACTGTCAATGTTTGAAAACTGGAGAAACGCAAAGGGCTGGGCGCTCTGTGGTTTCTTGATTTCTATATGCTGTAATGGAAAAATAGACAAATTAAATGAAACATCAGATAAGAAAGAAAGAAAGGGATCATGAAAACAATTTATAAAAAATCAAAAGTACATATCTTCAGAAGTAGTTAAGCTTCATCATGGTTAATCAATATTATGGACCCAAAGTTTATGTAATGTTATATAAATATGGTGTCCATGTAACGCTGGTAAAAATAGAAATGTGTTTTAAGCAAAGATTTTGAAAGCAACAGAAACAGGAACGATTCTGGCAGGGCACTACTATATGTATTTATTGCATGAAAATACTTCTACAGATAATGTCATCTTCCATGTGTAGTAGAAAATATCATACCCACGTTACATGGACACCGTCATATTTTTTGCCTCAACCTTATGGAATGACCCTATTCCAATAAATAAACATACCACAATGTCCCCGAATTTGCAGAAAGCGTCATGAAGCTCGTCCTTGTCTATGGTGCGATCCAGGTTCCCGACGAATAGCGTCCTCGTTGCGCGGGGATGGAATTCGTCGAGCTCCTTCTCAAAGTACTTGACTTCGCTGTCATCGACACTTATGTCCGCTGTGGAAAATAAAATAAAACACAGGAATTAATATTTGCGCTTATTTCTTAGTAGCATAATGGCATCATGACAGAAATAGTGACGGTCTAAGAAACATGTATGTCACTCTCAACGAGAAGAATGTACATAAGTGATAGGAGTGTCGTGGCCGAGTGGTTTAAGGCGCTTGACTAGAAATGCGAAGGTTGAGGGTTCGAATCCCTCACATGGCACTAATATCCTTTTGCAAGATATTAACCTACACTTGCTACTCTGATGATGATGATGATGATGATGATGATGATAATGATGACAGTGATGGCAGATGGGTGATGGTGGTGGTAATGATGGTGAAAATGGTGTTGATGATAGTGACTACAGAATTAATACTATTCCATTTTTTATGAATAATTCATAATCTATTGCTGTCAAAAGTATAAAGATGTATACCGGTATTCATATAATTATATGAATTACATGTACCAGTACTATTAATTATCAGCAGAAAAAGATGTACATCTCAATACAAATTGAAAATAAAACGATGCATCAAACCTACAGTGAGGTAGGCGGTAGGCTATAAATGTCCTTGAAAATATGTTAAGGCATGCATGAATGATATACATGTAGATCGGAATGGGGAGATCGGTTTGCCTGGCCGAGAGGAATTGATTGCCAGTGCAATGGACTGAAATACAAAATAGAAAAGAAAAATGCAGCCTGCTGAAAGCTCGGCGGGGGATTGGAGCCCCAGTTCAAAATAGAAGCAAATAGGATGAATGAAGTAAAGGCAAAGCAAAGAGCATCAAACAGAATTGTGACTCACAAAGGAGGTCGAGTATGCAGCAGAGGAGGAGGGGAGAGAGAGAGATAGAGAGAGAGAAAGAGAGAGAGAGAGAGAAAGAAAGAGAGAGAAAGAGAAGCGAGAAAAAAAGAGAGAGAGAGAGAGAGAGAAAGAGAAGCGAGAAAGAAAGAGAGAAAGAGAGAAGCGAGAAAGAAAGAGAAAGAGAGAAGTGAGAAAGAAAGAGAGAGAAAGAAAGAGAGAGAGATACAGAAGGAGAGAGAGAACCGAGAAAGAGAGAGAACCGAGAAAGAAAGAGAGAGAGAGAGAAAGAGAGAAGCGAGAAAGAGAGAGCGAAAGAGAGAGAGAGATACGAAGGAGAAAGAGAAAGAGATAAGATGCTGAGAGAGACAGGGGACAGCAGCAAACATACAGAAATATTGAAGTCACTACAAAAAGAAATGGCTTTTAAAATGAATACAATGAATGAAGTCTCCTTCTAGAAAAGTGAGGAATCTTGAGTGAAAAATATATAGATAGCAAAAACGATACATGAAAATGATCTGAGGAGATAGAAAGTGATGACGAGAGGGGGAGAAATTTTAGTCTTTGAGAAGTGAAAGTGGTATCTATTGTAAGAGCAAGAGAAAAAAAGAGAGAGAGAGAGAGAGAGAGACATACAACAACAAAATGTACAAATTGTGCAGAAAAGACACCCAACATAATTGTGTGAAATAAAATGTACCTTTCTGGAAAGACTAAAGAATGGTTTGTATGTTGGCCTCACAAAAGTACAGCAGATGCAATAAGAAACAAAACATGAATAAGGCCCATGAACACTCTAAATTCTCATCCCTGGCAGGCAAGCCAGCCAGCCTGCCAGATTTTTCAATCATCCAAATTCAATTCATCATCACGAAGAGAAAAGAAAGGACATATAAAAAATGAGAGACGGGTTTGTGAGGTAGAGTGAGCTAGCTGGCAGGCAATGGCAATATCTGCCTCATTCTATGCACGCTCGCCGCGTCACTGAGAGATTGGAAGCTAATGAGAAAAGGGAATCAGCGTGTAACAGAGAGAGAGAGAGAGATGGAAGAGAGAGAGAGAAGAGGAGAGAAGGAAGAGAGAGAACGAAGAGGAGAGAAGGAGAGAAAGATGCCTATCTGTTTCCATAGCAACAGCACGATGGCCTTGCTGCTTGGTTGCCTATGATTTATCCCCAGCGAGGGACTGGGGCGACAGCAGCCAATGATTTACCGTGCATAATTAGCATAAAACGCATGCCGAGTATCCCATGTGTCCCGCTATTCGTGCAATGCCTCCTCCTCCTACGTCTCTACGCTTCTACGCACGGTCCAAGGGAAAAACAATGCAAAGACCCCCGTTGGTTCATAACAAACTTCTTTGGGGTGAAAGTGACGAGGACGACGAGATGCTTTCAGCGGCACCTGCGTGCTACCCCGAATGGTGAATTGATTATTTGGTGGGGGTGCTGGCATGGCTGGCGTTCCGCGTGATTAACAATCAAGCATATGGAATAGGAATTGGGTTCTGGGATGTATGGGAGGATAAGGAATGCGAAGGCTGATAGAATGAGATGATGATCGAGTTCCCAACATGGGTTGAAATAGTACCCACTTCTTTGTTAGAATATGTACCAATGAGATTCAGGTTCAAATAGAGTGCATTAACATGCTTATGTCATTAGAGTTAGCCTCCTTTTTAATCATTCTGTAGTCCCATATGCTACAATCAAAGTCTTTTTTCACGACCTGCATCCTTAATTTTGTTCACTGACGATTGTCACTGAAGTACCATAATCAAATGATTACAATAGTGAGAACCATAGTAGAAAAAAAATAAAGAGGATAAGTAGGGCTCACCAAAATTATTTTAATAAATTATTGCTAATAATATATTGCTCATGATGTATTACAAAACATAACTTCTTCATAGAAACTATATACACAAAGTAAAGACCAAAAATATGAGGGCTGTAATACTTGGGGAAAAAGCAAGGACATTGGATTGTAAAATAAAAAATACACTTTTGGCTTTGAAACTTTAAAGAGAACCAAAAGATCAGAGATGATTTTATTTTTCCCAACAGAACACACTCAGATTCTCTTACTCCTAACAGAACAGAATCTGTGTTTGCGTTTACAAAACAGTGCTTGTACACAATACATATAGTTGTGCGTTGCGTATGGAATATGGCCTGTACAGTCTCAGTTGTGTGCCTGTGTGTATGAATCGTACACACTCGTATAGCAATGTAACTCGTATACGTCCACCATACTGTAAGGCTACATAGGGCACATAACACATTGCATTCATCATTATGCATGCAATATGTTTTAAGGTCTAATAATATATTTTCTTTTCCTCTTTAGTTTATATGATTCTTTGTCTAGTCTTAATGTGAGGAGAAATGGAGCACAGCCCAACCAAGAGCTGTCAAATATGATGATTGATAATAGGAAAGAAAAGAGACTGCCTGACAATAGGAAAGAGGCATTTCATGACGATCGAATACGAATGTAGGGGTCTAAAATATGTTGACTAAATAAAAGTCAAAACAAAGTCATATATCATAAGACTCAGATATATTTTAAAGGGAGAGATGCATCTTTTAATCAAGGCTAAAATCATAACAGGCTCTAGTGTTTAGATTTTGGATTAAAGCATTCATCCTATTCAACACACATGATAATACAAGATAATATAAACAGAAAAGTCAGTTGTCTATCAGAAGACCCGATTTCAATACGAAACCCCTAAATCTTTCTTGGAGTTTTACACAGGAATACCAGCATCATTATTTTCTCATTTATGGCATTGCATTCTATAGATACCAAAGAAAACATTAATATAGGCCTATAAAGTAGTCATAATAAAGTGAAACAAACAAACTATGCTTAGGCCTGTAGCGTGTTTATAAGCCTACAGATTTGAGTCACCAAGTTAGCGGAGGGAAGTTCTCTATGACGTTGGAAGTGTGTTTAAATCATATGCAACGTGATACCGCGGTTCTGCCAGAGTGATAACGCTTGCTTTATGGTTCATGCTTTACCAGCACGCATCATTACGAACGGCATCCCTGATATCTTTTATGTAAATGTGCGTCTTACCAAAGATAAAAATAGCAATTATATTTCTTGCGATTTGATACGGTTCTTGCTGAAGATTGGTTTTGTTGGCAATAGCTGACATTTCAAAATTCAAGCTAGCAACATCAACAAACGGAAAGATTGCTAGATGAAAGAATGAGAAAAATGTTCCTTCTGACCATATGCCAATTTTTGCCAAAAGCAGGCAAATACCAAAATACAATTATCTTCTTAGACACAGGAGCCATTTTGAGATTTGCAAATACAGATATGCAGAAATGCAGATATAAAAGCAGTATATTTTCATAGAAATTTCTAGGTGCCATATTTTAGTGGTTCTTTACCTGAGTCCTGCATTGATGTATATTTCATATGAATTGTAATTTGTAGGTTTATTTGCATTTTTGTTATCATTTTGTTTAAAGGTACTATGTCCCTTTTGCAGCCAACCTCAAATGCTGTAGAACTTTGCAGGAATTATGAATATGTCATGTATGTCCTATCTGTGAAATTTAAACGTTAGCAGTGTCCTCATATTCAAATTATGCAAGGAAACCTGTTTACTTGCTAGACTTCACTGTCAGACACTATTGAGTGACTGACTGGCTTTTTTCTTCTTTGGTAATAACATACATGAAAAGAGTTGTAAAGGGTACATGAGCATTTGTCTACATCAATAACCCACTTCTTGTGATGGCCAAGATTAAACTGATTGAATCTTTGCGCAGCATAAAATGTATGACCATTCGGAACAATTGTCTGAAAATCAAGACTATTACTTTTGGGCTCTATAGCCCTAAAGTCGATTTGACAACTAATAGTCATTATTTTCCCACTTGAAGACATTTTCAAGCCCCACCTTTTTTAGGGAAGTTCTAAATAAGTATTATCTTTCAAATGCAGTTGGAATTTAACTTTTTCATTTTTTGGGCCTGCAAATGGGACATAGTACCTTTAATATATAATTGTTTATCATTGTATTTTGTTTGTTATAGCGCTTGGAGACTTCGGTGGTAAGCGCTTTATAAGGACCGTATTTATTATTTGATTATTATTTTTGCAAGAGCCCTAGTTTTAGACCTTTCCCAGATCTGAATGGCTCACAGCTCCCACTGAATTGTTTTCTTTTCTTTTTGCTTTGTGTCTTTATCCATACATGATTTTACAAGAGACTCTATTTTACAAAGCTCATGAGATGTGTAGTGGTGTTGTGTAGTGGTGGTTATTTTACCGGACTGCTAAGAAAGCATAAATGCTTGTTAGTAAGCAACCAGAGAACCGACGGCTTTAGGTCCTCTCCGAGAGACCTGATAATGAGGATTAATGCCTTACCAAAGCCCGGCTTTGCCAATTTGACGATAGGAACCCGTTAGTGATTCTTACCTGCTCCTTCCCACGGTGACAGCTTCATCTCACAGCCAAAGAAGAGCTTCCCTTTCGACGCCGACATCGCCTTCTCCATATCCTCAGTCCTAAGAAAATAGAGAAGAAAATGATGAATGTTGAGAACTAGGAGACATTAGGAAAGATGAATACAGTGGTTAAAGGTAGATGGGTACGGGTCGGATCACTGTCCCAGGAATATATGTCAAGAACCAAACATCAAGATTTTTCATTAACTTATTTAACGATCATTTTTAACTCAAGATAACAAAATGCCTCTTAATTTGAAAAGCATGTTTGTCAGAGTTGCCTCCATATTTACTTCAGGGGATACAACCACATTTAAAAACAAAGTAAGGAGATATAATATGACATATTGAGTATGAGCCCATATGGGCAATATATCAAAACACCTATTTATGCAGTGATTCAATCACACGTCCCTAGACGGAAAAATAGGAATGCTAACATACCACGACTCCCCTCACAAATATCGTAAATCCAACAATATCAAAATGGAGCTATCAGTTTCAAGTTCTTGCGTAAAATAACTCACAACCTAATCGGTCGTTCTGTCCTATAAGGCTGCTTACCGTAAAGCACATATATGTACATGTAGGCCTACATGTTTCAATACGTGGCTTAGACTCTATCAACATGCTTTTAATACCTCGCTCTTCATCCTCAATATCTGCCTGCGGTTTTACAAAAAATGATCACAGTTCACTGCGATCGATTTCCTGTGAGAGACACATTCTTTAGATCGCCGTGGACCTCGCTGACGACTCAAAGACACTTTTCCACAAGAAAACGGGTCACTGACAAAAGGCATTCAACAGAGGACTCTTATCGCCGGCTGGCTGCAGAGTCCGTCCAAAATGGCAGTGATATGCTCGCTGCATTTATAAGCACATACTGAGCAAGAAACGGAGTGACAGTGAATAGTATGGCTTCATGAAGCAACCATCTAATGATCTATCGACAACAACCCACAAGAACTCCAGATAGAGGTCTTCTTGTAAGATATGCGAGATGGCGACACACTTTGTTAAGCATTAATGAGATCCAAATTCAAAAACATCTTGTACACGCTTACTGTACGGACAGAACAAGCTTAGAAGTGGGAATATCAGTAGTAGCTTGATTATCAGCGAGTATGAAAACCTACAAAGGACCTATATCCTTGGTTACTATTCATAAATGGCCTGTTCAGACCATGGATAATTTATATGAAAATATGAATAAAGAAACGCTGTATAAAGAATCATCCTATAGTTAAAGGTGTACAGACTAGGTAACAACATCGTAAGAAACGTTGTACTAAAAAACTGTTTTTTGAAAGGGCAACTAACGCAACAGCTGGGCAATCATCATAAGTACACGCTCATGATAAGGCCTACCCAGTTACGATACATGTATGACGTTCAGTCCGGAGCAGAACCTTCATTCTTTATTTTTAGTTTTCATCAAAATGATACATTTGTTTTGTAATATATTGCAATATGCAATGCTTCTTATGATATTCAGACTAAAAATCTGTAATTACTTAATATTGGACAGCAATTTTATTTTAGTGCAGCTATACAAAAAAAATTGATAGTCTGAATGAATGGTAAAGCTTGCAATAGGAATCTCTGTCAAGTAGTGTCATTACCATATTAAAGTAGGTAAGCAACAAACTATAAAAAGGTAGGAGTTCAGGACTTGAGGATTATTAAGAGAAACCTCATAATTAAATGGAGAAACAAAGGTTTCATCTTGCTAATTGCACTCCAATATTTTACCATTTTGAAGATAAAGTTTCTCACTAAACATAGACAGTACAACGATTTGACAAATGCTAATTAAATTTGAAATCGTTTATTTTGTTTCTTTTTATTTCGTCAAATATAAGGTTAGCGTTATGTTGGCAATGGGCTTTCAGATAAGGGTTATATTTGGGGTTAGAGTAATAACCACATTCCCTTCCCCCTTTTTGAGTAAGAAAAATTGGGGAAAAATTGGGAAATAATAGGGAAGAATAGAGAAAAATCAGGATAAAATCAGTGGGGGGGGGGGAATATTTAAAAATGGGGAAGAAAAAAAAATCTGGAAAAAAAAATTGGGAGACCGATTTAAATCAGGTTTTTATCAGGCCTGGTGCATGAAGTAAAACTAAGAACTTGAGAAGAATATGATAAATAAAAACGTACCTCTTGAAGAAGACGATGCCGACTCTATCGTCCCCCGCCCCCTGGACGGTGACTGCCGTCACCTGGCCGTACTTCTTGAACTCGTGAAATAAACCATCCTTGATGCTTGAATCTACATGCAGATAAAAACAGAAACTGGTCAGTCTCAACAAATAATGAAATGTTGTCATTTTAAATATAACAAAAGTTAATGCTAACAACAATATTTTAAAAATACAGCATATCATTCAGATACCACCTGTATGTCTAAACTTTAAATTCATTGCAGAAAATGTACTTGTTCTATTCCTGTCAACACTAATACAATGCAATAAAGCATTTTGTTTTGTTTTAACAGTTTGAGAAAAAATCAAAAGTGTTAAGTTATTTTTTTCACTTCCAAGTTTATTTGAACATGATTATATTCCACAACTTGATAACTATATTTGCATCTGCTAATATAATATTATACCAATATGCTGTGATGTTCAATCGTTATAAAAAGCCTTACAAATTTGAATGAATGTAAACCAAATCAAAATTGATACCATCACATTTTTCACTCCTTTCAAATAATATTCCATACTTATTGGAAAGCTATCACTACACATAAGCCATACAATGAATGATGCATTTTTCATATAAAACATCTGTCATCAATATGTATATTTTAAATATCTTTGAAAGGGTAAATAAATGCAACAAAATTGCAATAACACTTGTTCCATAGGGAAATGAGTACCATAAGGTGTATTTGTTGTTAAATTTAAAAAATGCAATTTTTTTCCCCCTGGGATTAATCAATAATTACCTGTCAACAGGAATCTAAATTGTATACATTTTTATCCCATGAGTAGCAGTTGAACAGAACATGGGAAATTGGAAAATCGTTAACCATATACATTACATGTACATGTACGTCTGTGTGACGTCAATTACCAGATGCATTGTAAATCTTATCAAACGAGCCATAAAATGGCATACACATGTAAATAATACAGGTATATGTAGTTACATGTACGCATTCCACCTATAGAAGTAGATTACATAGTACCATGAAAGCTACGTGTACAAAGCTTCATGTAATAAACAATGTAGTAAAAAGCAAATGATATGGGGTAAATTTCTTTACAAATAAATGTTAACCTACTATGTACATGTACATGGGCAACGTACAGTCTCCCTGTCTGAACGTACGTTTTCCATAAAATATTCACATTTACACCGTAAACATATATACATGTACATGTATGTAGGCCTACAAGTAACGGCATGTTGCGCTAAATACAGTTTGATTTGAAGTAGTCCACGATGCTTTCAACCAGGTTCCCAGCTGAAGGCGAACGTCGCGATGAACAAGAAAATAATTCCATTAAATCCAGATAGTAATTCCAAAAATGTCTGAGAACAGGGCACGGAAATATTCCTTGATATGACAACAAATGTGAAGCACAGCAACATGGTACATTCATGTCTTGTATTCATCCGAAAGGAAAAGTGCTTGTGGGTTGTGCCGATATCCAAGACTTGACGACCTGCTTGATATTGTAAGCACTCTGCTCAACATTTGTTGTACATTGAAGGTATGCAAGAAGGGAAGCTAATCTATTTGTTTAGGGATAGCATGTACAGCACTGGCTAAGTAACGCACGATACAGTCTTGCACATGTACTCGGTCATTCTCCAAGATATCCATTTTATTTATCCTTTGAATGAGCTGTAAATGTTCAGGTGAGTTGATCAAGTGGTCAGGCATTCTGGTCATCTTCGCCTGTACACTGACCGCAGGTTGGCTGGACTGTCACATACTTTGTATGAGCCTGGTCCAAGGCAAACATACATAAATAGATTTGATTGACAAGCATTGATCTATCAAAATGAACATTTATGAAACACACCCTCATGATACACATCAAAAATATTACATGATAAAACATGTACATGTATGTAAGCAGAAACTATTATGAGGGAGAACACTATACATTTTCATTTGAATTACGTACATGTGCACTAATAAAGACAACAAAATATGACAACAAAATATGCTAACAAACACAATCAGTTATTCTGTCTTCAATACTGTGAATGAAATTCATATTAGCCTACCCTATGGTTCCTCTAGCCTTGTGCAAAGCTTCGACCAAAACCCTGATAAAAATATCCTTCCAAAACAGGTACCAACAAAAAAGAAATACTGATGTTCCACCAACCAAACCCATTAACATATACATGTACATACAGTATGTCATGTACATGTAATAACACAAGCATGCAAAAACAGAATTATGTTCAGATTGGATCCTTGTAGGCCACCATACTACAAGAGTAAAGCACACACTCCTACATGTAATTGAATGACCTTATACACTACAACAACAACAACAACATAAGTTGAACACTCATATTCTTTTGCCAAACCCAGTTGAATAAAGAACTTTACCTGTACATGTCGAAGCAGTCAGAATATTAGAAGAGAGAAAAAAACCTCTGGTAGAAGAAATTGAGCCTGCAATGTTCCTTCACTGTTGTGCCATCCTCTGTGTGTACTACAGTACAGTTCTATAGAGCACAGACGCGACAGCACTGTCTGTGTGCGTCTTCTTTAGAATCTGGCACAGTTACACAATACACATTTTAGACCTACAGTATAATATACAGGAGTACATGTTATCCATGATGCTGTTGCCCATACATGTCAGAGACATAATGTACATGTTATTCCCTTTCTATCTCTTGTCTGTGAGGGCATGCATGGTACCGCAGCATTCACAAAACGTTTCCTGATTTCACATGCAAATGACTTCATCGTACACACCATTGTAAGAAGGAGGGTAAATCATGTATGAAAAGGAGAAATCACGTGTTTGTACACCCTAGTTCTGTTAGGTTTATAAATGTGTGGAATGGGAGGGGTGGAGAGAGTGAGAGTGGGGAGAGAGGGAGGGAGAGAGGGAGGGAGGAGAGAGAGTGGGGTGGAGAGAGTGGGGTGGAGAGAGAGAGAGTGGGGAGAGAGAGAGAGAAAGAGAGAGAGAGAGACAGAGACAGAGAGAGACAGACAGACAGAGGAGAGAATGAGAGAGAGGAGAAAGAGAAAGACAGGGAGAAGGAGAGAGAGATAGACACAGAGAGAAGGAGAAAGAGCGAGAAGAAAGAGGGGAGAGAATGAGAGAAAGTGAGAGAGGAGAAAGAAAGAGAGAGTGAGAGAGAAGAAGAAAGAAAGAGAGACAGAGAGAGAAAGAGAATGGGAGAGAGAGAGAGAGAGAGAGAGAATGAGAGAGAGGAGAGAGAGAGAGAGAGAAAGAAAGAGGTTTAAGTTATGACACAGACCTGTAGGATATGGTTTCCCATATTACACACTTTGTTCTGTTTTGGCACGATAGGCTTGATAGGCTTATATGGACATAAAAGACAGTTTACCTTTTAAAGATAAAATCTGACTTCATACAATAATATATACTGTACAGCCAAACATCTACTAAGGCTACCCAAGGGAAACGAAAAAGACTGTCACTATAGACAGGCGCTCTTTCTAGACAGGTCCTACAACACATTCCAAAATTTTCTTGGGTAAAAAGAAAATACATGAAAGCCTACACATGTATGCCTAATATTCATGTACATTTATATAATATCTTTTTGTCCATTTATTGGTATCACAATACTGCTTAGCCACATATTATTTTTCCAATTTTTTCGCCATTGATCCTAATTGATATCCACTCTATCACAGTTTATAATGCCGGTAGTTTATTAGCTCTCTTGTAATTATGATCAAGGGCAAAATAGAAATGTTATTGGAGACAATTTAATTGATTGTTTAAAAAAAGGAGAGATTTCCTAACATAAAATGATAAAAACATTATTTTGTTTAAATCAGAATTCATGACCCCCTTTTTATTCTTCTTTTTAATTGTTTTTTCCAAACTTTAAATTACAGAGGCCTCTTTTCTTTACTGATACACATGTACATGTTCAACACATCAGAAACTACCTATGCAACTCATCAATAACAAAAAACTTATTTCTTGTTTTTCTTCGTTCTTTTTCTATTGATAAAAGCTGCATTTTCCCTTTAAAAGCTGTGATTTCCCCACTGGTATCAAGGCCAGATGTTTTGTTCTTAATCACCCCAACATGCGCCCTTGTAAAACAACAACAAGCACTGCTTGCGAGCAGGATTTAGACCGAAAGCGGACGGATAGCGGAAGGAAGAGCAGGTACTGCCACTCTTTCCTCTCCAAAAACACTTTCTTTTGATAAACACAGCAATGTACAAGCATTAGAATTGCCTATGATACTACCATAGTCTTCCTCTTTCAACCTTGCTAATATAGTGTTTATGTAAAAGACACACAAGTACAAGTATGTTCAATCATTCATGGACACTGTAGATTGCCAAATAGCAATGTTGGCCTATAGAATGTTGCATGCATGTAAATAGTAAATGCCTGTAAAAAGGGCTAGGCTTCTCGCCAGAAATTTGTTTACCTTTGAGTGACATATGACCTTGCAGAATTCCAGGAGAGGTTTGGGGGTAGAACTAACTGAATTTGAACTCAAGTTTTATACATGTTTGTGAAACTGATCATTACTACAGATAAACGTATGTTCATTTTCAACAAGAAGGGATGGAAACTGTATGCTACACTTTTCGATAGAAAATTTGAACTATGACAGTATAACCACACAGACATATACATACAGTTTCTTTGACTTTGTGCACATTATTTCTACCATTGTTATTCATTTGTTTTTATCTTCATTTGCATTTGTATTTGTAATCCAACCTCATATTTTGGTTGCAATAAAGAAATACTGCTTTTCCCCACACGTGATATACAGTTGGTTAATTTTTTTAAAACATGAAATCACTTGTTTACCAAGCAACACATGCAGGCTTGCAGCATACATGCAGTATATCATGACTTAATTCAATTACACAACAACCATTTATGGGAGAGAGCTGATGCAAAGTGGTAATCGAATCTCTCCCATACCAAATCGAAAAAAACATAAATCCAAACGGGAGTCTTCTAAGTAAATTAACGCGGATGCATTTACTGGTCGATATCTTTCAGACAGCACTTTATAAAATGCCACTCAATGGCTCACTTGGGTGGTGGAAGATTATATGCTCTTACTGCCCGGTCCATTAGAATGGATGCACCTTACCCTTCATGCTGTATATAAAATAGTCAATTCAATTATATTCTCCCTTAGAGGAGAGAGGTGGAGAGAGGAAGTGGGAGAGAGAGGGGGAGGGGGGGGGGAGAGGGGAAGGGGGAGAGAGAGAGAGAAAGAAAGAGAGGGAGATATATATATATATATAGAGAGAGAGAGAGAGAGAGAGAGAGAGAGAGAGAGAGAGAGAGAGAGAAAGGGATGTAGAGATGGGGAGAGGAGAGAAAGGGAAAGAGAGGAAGAGGAAGTGGGAGGAAGAGAAAGAGAGAGAGAGAAATATAGAGACAGAAAGTGATGAAGATATTTATAGAGAGCAGCGAGGAAAAAAGAGAAAGCAGGAGAGAAGAGGAAGGAGAGAAAGAGGAAGAAGAGGAAGAGAGATAGAGTCAGAGACAGCCAGAGAGAAATGTAAAACGAGAAGAAAAAAAAGAGAGATTGGACTGAAAATACAAAAGATAAAAACAAGCTTGAAAGGAGGAGTGAGTTGAGTACAAGGTGTCACCTCTTTTTGGAAAGTTCATCTTTTTTTTTTCCTCGTTAAGTTTTTTTCATAAAGTGCATGAACGAACGCAGCTCATTCCTCTTTTCCTCTAATGCATTCTTGCCATTAAACCCATTAAGACAGAGGAACAGGGAGAGGAGGTTCTCTAAAAAGTGTGTCAGGCATTCTTCTCTCGTTATTTTCATCCATGTTCTCAATTCTCTTGCACCAATTCCCAAATCCATTTAATACGATTGAAGTCTGGATGGGGAGACGTGAGAAGACAAATACAAATACATGTGCATGTACAATGTACGCCTATTTCGTTAGCTTACATGTACTGTGCAAAAGAACCTTCTGGATAGAATTGTAATATATTCAACAAATTCACTTAACGTCTCAATAAGTGTCAAAATGTAATCCTGGCTGACTGCTTCAACGCTGAAAATCATTAAAAGTACTGTATAGTTTGCCTACCAGGTTCTATATTAATTGAATTTTTAATCTTGAAGTCCATATAATAAGATACATTTCTACTGACAATTATTGTATAGACCCTTGTCCATGAAATTTCAGTAATTATTGCTTCCTATACTGTACTTAAGACTTAAAGTATTCTCAACATATTTCATGTTTTAAGCATAATGAAAAAATACTACTTTACACGCTCTTCAGCACTTTGCAAAATGTTTCATTAAAATGCCAACCATGAATATCATAAACCACCTCTTTTCATATTGATTAGATTCCCCTCAAGGGGAAAAATCTGGCATTTTGAGGGACTGTCCCCTTTTTTTCTCTCTCTTTCATTTTGGTGTCTTTCTTTCTTTCTGCTTTTGTCGCCCCTGAACAGTGTTAATCTTTGAAATGTCGGAGTTACAATGCGGTGATCAAATACAATAGAATCTCATGTATTTCACATTTATACTCACCCAGACAATAAGTCTGACGTCTCGAAAAAAAAAAGGGAATTTATAGGACTTCCTCTTTTGTAACGTATGCCGTAGGAGTGTTAACTATGAGGGTAAACTATTATACATTGCAGGGGGGAAAAATGCATTTGCCAAAGTAATCCTTATACATTATTTCCCACATAACAGAATAGAAAATAAAGAAATAATTCTCATACACAGACCACCGTATAACTTAAAGTACAATTTACAATGTAATAATGACTGAAACCAGGTAAGATTGCATAACAAATTAAAAAATGCATTCGCCAAAGTAATCCTTATACATTATTTCCCACATAACAGAATAGAAAATAAAGAAATAATTCTCATACACAAACCAACAACGTATAACTTTAAGTACAATTTACAATGTAATAATAATTGAAACCAAATAACACATGAACATGATGGTACATGGAAGCTCATTGTACATTCAATTTGAGCACATTGTATAATATGAGATTCAAGGGCAATATACAAAAATATACAAAGTGAAATATACATACATGTACATATCATTACAATGTTTGTGAACTTATAAAAAATATACATACCGCTTGACCTTGATGGTAAGTTTCTGACACATAATCCTGAGTACTTGAGTGAGCTACCTGAGCTTTGAGTGTTCTCCGTGTTGCGACTTTCCCGATCACTCTCTGGGTCCTTACTACACTGGGATCTCCGCGACCAATTGTCGCTCCCCGACACACTACTCCTCGAGTCCGTGCTCCGGCTCCGGCTCCGCGAGCGGCTGCGCGATCGACTGAAACTCCGCGACCGCACAGACCTCGGCGAGTGGCTATGGTTCGTCGTGCCAGAGCCTGTCCTCTGGTTCGCTTTGGTGCGCGACTTGCGCGAGCCGGAGTCCGAGAAGCCATCACCGTCGCTCCGCGAACTTGTGAAATTTTCCTTGAAATATGTCTCCGATTGGTCCTGGGTGTATGGCGTGTCACCACTATTTCCACGGGAATGTTGTGAGTAGTAATTGCGATTGTAAGACGTCCTTTCGCGCGACCTACCCTCACGGTAGGCTGATGGCGACATGCTATTTTCGTCCCTGTATCCATCACGTGAGTCCCGACTGTAATGTCTGTCGTATGATCTCCCATAGTCATAATTTGTTGATCCCAATTCATATCTTTCATCGGCTGACCTGCAACATTTAAATTTGAGAGAAAATTATGAGAAAATGTTAGCGCCTTAAATTTAACCAACATTATATATGGTGAATGATATGTTTAACATAACCCAAAATACAACGCTAAAGAAAGATACTACACATACTGCAAAACCATAATGATATTTTATATCTTTATGGAACGCAGTGAAAAAAATACATGGGGCAAATTAGCCCCCGAAATTGTTTAAATAATTTTTTCCCTAATGGAACGTGAAATAAATATAAACCATCTGGACATGTACGTACAAGACAAATGAATGATACAGTGATACAAATAAAAACCACATAAAAACAGTACGCATACAATGTGCATTATCAAGTTCTTTAAATTGAAACAACCTCATATCATGAGGCATGAATCTTTACTTTTAATTTCATGATGGTGAGTTCATGATGATGCATTCTAAATGGCCTTCAGAGTCAGAGAAGAATTAAAATACAATATAAAGTACAGTATTGCTCAACAGATTTCAAGGTAAACTGATATGACAGCCTTGTCTGCATACATATGGAGAGTAAAGGCAAACCACAAATATAAATGTAGCTTACATGGCCTTACACTAAAGGGCCTTGAATGTACAATGAACGCATGGAAGCATAGGCCTTCATGTACTTGTGTACTTTAATCTCTATACAAACACATTGAGTTTTCTTATTGATTTTCAGGGATGAATTTTTCTCATGGTTTCCAAATCAGAGCCTAGAAATGCCATCTTGTACGACATAACTTGTAAGATGGCATTGAGGGTAAAAGGGGCCCTGTAGGACTACAAACAGGCGCCTATTTTGGGACACGCTTCGTCTCCATAATCGACCAGGATATTTGATTTAGGCGACGCTGGCGCTTGGTTGCTCGGCTAGAAACTTCATTGGCCCGTGCGATGCGAGCCCCATTACGTCTGGTTAAAAAAGATTTGCAGCTTGGTTTACATCAGGTTTACCAACGACTAGAAGCGGGTTAGTGGAAGTGTAAATCAAATCATAAGGAGAGGAAACGCAAGGCCAGTTTTCTCGTTACGCGAGGCCAATAGCACCGGCTGCGATTTCCCCTCATAACAACAAAACACGGCCCATGCTTGGAGGTGCACATGTTGACTCACAGATCTCCCTTTTTCTTTTATGAATTTTTTTTCTTCAAATTTAATTCAAAGGCTACGTAACAGAACAAGGTGTGCCTGAATTAGGCTATTTCGTTTCCAGTTACAGAATGTGTGCATTGGAGTCATTGACACTTCCACTTGAATAACACATGCGATCGATACATGCTCATGTCAAATGAATTACCAAAGTTAATGCTGACTCTGGTCTATGTACAGTACATGTAGGCCTACATTACAAAGATGTTCAACAAATTCAATAACAAATCTCAATACTACAGGCCTCTTGAATAGAAAACCTACTACTAAACACTGATAAGGAAACAGCAACAATCAGAAAAACAAATATCAAAACTGAATTAATCATTCCACAGCTCATATGCTAACCACTATAATGTACATATATGCTGATTATTTGGTTTTTGGGGTGAAGCACTACGGCGGCGCGCAGTGGCGTGACAAGCAAACCAGGAAACTCAACAGAGTGAATTGAGTTTCGGTTGGCAACGGTTATTTTCACCATTCACTTCAGCTTTCATTTCCTGGTTTATTGTTAGCTAGCGATAACCCAACAATAACCAAGAGAACCTTTATAAATATTTCCATACTCGATGAGTAAATAAATAAATACAAATGATTGTATAGATGAGGACTAATATTAAAGAGACTTGGTAATATTGTTTAGATGAAGATAAAAATGGTGCTAAGGTAGTGACTTCAATGCTAGATGTACAATTTATGATAATCTGAAAGTTTGAGTGAAAACAGACCATTATTGATGATAAAAAGTGGGAAAACTGATCTGATCGATTCCTTAATTCTCCCAACTATATTATTATAATTTAATTTAATTTTAGGTGAATGTTAATTGTCAAAAGCAATGAATTGGCTCTATTTACCATTCCAAACATTTAGGTGCTGAAAAATTTTGAAAAGCCTTTTTTTTTGGGGGGGGGGGTCTAATTTTTATGGAAAAATGGTTGGGAAAATCCCAAAATTGGTGGGGAGAATTTACTGTTAAGTGTTAGAGGGTGTTGCACAGTGACACCTTCGAAGAAAACCATAAATATCTTTGTGGTTTGAGCATTTTTTCAGGATTGTTCGCATGTATGAGGGTAAGTACAGTAGAAGGAACATTTCATACAAGAATGACGCCCTTTTTTCATCAACCTTGAACAATGTTACCGGTTCACTTTAAGTCAATAATGACTGTGGGGGAAGGGAAAAACCACAGATACCACATTCATATCTTTTCCGGTAGAAAACTTAGTCAGAATTGATAATTGGCAACCATTAAAAGGGCCTCGCATCACAAAACATGCATGAAATACATGTTTACATTGTCTGTCTATAAAATACAATGCGTGCAGTTGATTGTACAAGTACGTATTTTTCTTCTTTTGTGAATTGGAACAGTGCTGCACCTATATATAACATCTACAGATACATTTAATTTGTAAAAATGAGCCCTAGTCTAAGAACGTCAAGGGGAAAAAGATAAATGCACTAGCAAGTCTCCCTCCCACGTTACTCCTACAAAGCGGATCTAACAAACGTGTTACAGAAATAAAATCTTTTGTATGGGCTCTTAAAAAACGGAAGATCATTATAAAAGCAATTTCCGGGAAGAGAATAAAAAGTTTGTAAATCACTGAAATAAAGGGTAAATAACAGAACAAAACAATGACATATGGAAAAAGAAGGAATAGCTTGGATACAAATTAATCTAGCACTTATTGTTCCATAACAAGTTACTGAAGCGTTCGTTCCAATTGTGCTGGAGATATATGGAAGACCCAAACAATTAAATTCTTTTTCCCCCTGAATTTTATCAGGCAGGGGCCAAGGTTGAAGATATGAAGCAGAATAGATTGAGATTTATTGAGGTTTATTATTACAACAGAAAATAGTGATAGTAGCCAGTTTCGTCTTTGCAAATAATAAAAAGGACACTACTGCTCTATGAAGCAAATGATACAGTTAATTATTCAATAGGAAATTGCCTAGGTCAAATTTTACTTTGGTTAAGCATGTTTGACAAACGTTTTACTTTTACCAACTGGGCTAGCTGGAAAAAAATGTGAATAATATTAACATATGTGAGTAAAATCTCTTCCAATTACATTTAATATGCTGCAAATAAATTATTTGTATCCAAAATCATGTTCGTGTTCTATATGAGGATCCTTTTGGACCAACAATCTTTTTTTTATGTTAGACCAGCAAATAATAATTCTTTCATGAAGTGCTGGCATGAAAGGGTAAAAAAGTACATGTACATGGGCCTAATGCATGTACCTTTCCTATTTAATTAAAGCTGATTTGAATAATCTATTCTAATTTCATTCATACTAGTTAATCTTAAATATATTTAATGTGCCCTAGTACCAATATGAGGGTCATTCCGTGGGGTTAGGGCAACTTTTGTGTCATACCAGAAGTGAGAAACTACATCTACATCTGCATGTCCGTCTTCCATCAGTATCAACCATAACAAAATAAAAATATTTGCTCAAATTTGGTTAAAGATAAACTTGAGTTCTGGTAATGCGATTGCATTGTGAAAGAAAAGGTGTGGAATGGATCAGAAAAGTTGATCATATAGCATGTAAGTAATGGTGTGTAATGCAAGGTTCTGGAGTCATCAAAATCATCATAAATTTGGCAGAGTCTTGGTAAAGTAACAATCACTTACACAGAAAGATGTATATGGGACAACACACATGGTGTCGGGGCTAGTACTACCCTGATTTCCTTATCTTTCTATGCTCATTACTCAGCCAGTATATATTTTCTTCCAAAATTATTTGGCACATGACATTTATTTGGAATCTTGAACATTCAGTGTAAGTTTCGTTAGATTCTGTGAGAATTCATTTTCTTTTTTTACCAGAACTCAACTTTATCTTTAAGCATCAAAAGCGTAACCAACTATGACTCTAGCAGGGCACCATTACATGTATTCATTGCATTGAAATCTTCCCCAGATGATTTCATCTTCCATATAAAACAGAAGACCTCGTACTATGTTACATGGACATATCATTTTTTGTCCAAACCTCATAGAATTGACCGTAAGTGACATCAATGACATCACCAATCTAGCAGTGTACCATCTTGCCTTGTCTTTAATACTGTTCTAGGTTAGCACTATCTTTAGCCTGGACTTTCTGTTTCTTTCCAAATGTTGACTTTTATATAATTTCCCTCGAAATAAAATGATGGCTGCATGAAGGAAGTTCATGCCCCCTACCTTGTCAGAAATGGTAGGAAACTCTCAAGTTAGATGGCTCAGACAAATGCAGACCCCAAAGAAGAGTGTTTAATTAAAGGTTTTCTGGACTTTGGCAACACAAATGTATCTCACCAATCGCCTCGAACCCGTCCAAGCAGTTTGTTGATTTGTCATGCATTAAATTGGTCTTCTGGGCCATCCAATTGATTTAATACAACAACAAAAAAAATTACCATACCTACTCTAAGAAAATCACCAAACACAAATAAGCACATATGGGACTACACAGAATATTTTTCAGTAGTGGCAGCACCATTTTTCCCCCATAGCTTTTGTACTCATTCTCAGTTACATTTTATAGCACATTCATTATCTGGATGTAATTCATCGTCACCTTGCAATACAGTGACTTCATCATTCACTGTAAATTTTGTTTACCGGTAAATATGTGGTAATTCATTTTTCAAACTTTCCAGAAATCAAAACAACCTTTAATTTAGGGAGGTATTAAAAGGGGTCACGGTTGGGGCTCTTTATAGCATATGTGAGTGAGTCACTTTGTCATGAGTTTGCCAGTTAGTAATCACAGTCTCTTGTCTACTGCCTAATGGAAAGAGGATGTAGGAAAGGGGGAAGGAATA